AACGGTACCGGCGCTAGAACCGTCTCCTTGAACGATCTCAACGCTCTTGACCAAAGCTGGCACCACCTTGGGAAAGAGGTTGTGTGAGTCCACAAAGAAGGCTTTGAACAACCTTGCAGGTGCAATGGGGGATTCGACTGAATCGGTGTAGGTTGTCACGCCCATTGTTTTTTGTTTTTTGGGTCTTTTGGGGATTTGTATATAATTAGTGTTCAAAACTACAAAGGATTTGTTTATGTGGAGTTGTGGGATTGTTGGCGAGATTGGGACGCTACTTATAGGACGAGTGACACTAAGGGTTGGTGACAAATTTCAACATTCTTGACTTTGGTTTCCATTATTCATTGCTTTTCTAGATGTTCAAAGTCTTCTCTTTTTTCAATTCCATCCCAATTTCAGTGGGAATAATGCTAGAAATTAACGTTAATGTTTTGAGTAAGTTATTTACTGTCAGCATTTCGCTTTGGCATTTTCAAATTAATCTGTACCGTTGAAATTTTATTCAAAATGCTAACGTTAATCTCTAACGATATTCCCAAACAAGCACAATGGGCGCGGATTCCCATTCTTTTTATTTCTATTTTTAAATATCATATTAATAATTTCTTTAAATTAATCTAAAACAAAATTTGAAACTAAAAAGTGGAATTAGAAACTAAAAAAAAATCAATAAACACAATATGTAATAATGTCATCCATGATATATATGTGGTGTGAAATTTGCATTAAATAGTACAAAAACATATGTTTTTTTAATTTTCAATGTAGTATTTAAACTTTTTTATTTCCAAAATAGTACTTGAACAATGTATAGTGACGGGAACAATGTCCAGTGGTGGTAGATATTTAGTTTGAACAATGTCCAATGACTAGTAGACATTGAACAGTAGTACTACATTAGAAAATAAAAACATATGATACTGCATTGGGAAAATTACTATGTTTTAGTACAATTTAGGTAAATTGCTCATAAGTGATTCTAATGGTGGATTTAAGGTTCACATGGACTTTTCACACACACACAAATATATAAATTTTAAAAATACTAATTACAATATTTAAAAATACTTATTTAACATATATCAATATATAAATGTCCATCATAAACTTTAGACCCATCTAATAATTCGCGGTGATGATCTATGGGCTATGGAGTACTGAACAACTTTAAAAATTTACCAAAGTGGTTTATCGATTTTTGTTTTGGATTTTTTACCAAAGTGACTTTTCCTATTAAAAGCTTCATCCGATCACCGCGTTTTGAATTGCAAAGGATAGTTAATCATAAAAAGTTGTTACTCGTAATTTATGCACCAATTTAACAACTTAAGTTGCTTTTTTGTTTTGAAAATTCTATAAATAATCTTTTATAAGTAAGAATTTTCTATACACGGAGTATAATCTTTAATTATAAAGTAGGAAAAACTATTTAAAATAGTCCTAATTTTACTCCGTCTTTTAAAAATAATCTTATCTTTCACTGTAATGTATAATATTTCCAATTTTACTGAAATTTGCAAGTTTTAGACAGCCGTTAAGTTGCTAACGGCGGGTTAACGAAACGGTTTGTTTTGCGCAAGAAAATAAAAGTTGAGATTATTTTGGTGAACTTTCGTTTTAATTTTTTTTGAAATTTTTATTTAAAATTTTAAAATAACTTTCTACATGAGTTTCTTTTTCCTTTTTTTAAATGTTATTCTTATTTTATAAAAAATAAAAATAAATATAAAAATATCAAAAATGAGAAAAATAATCATAACCATACAAGATTAAGAAATAAATAAGCTAAGGTAATCAATAAAAATTAAACTAAAATTGAAAAGAAACAAAATAAAAAGATAACGAGTGGAGTGCTTTAACATTTTACACACTATATAGAGTATTAATGCATTACTAATTTTTTTTTGAAAGAGCACGTAAAATTAGGAATATTGACATATTGTAGATAACTTTTCCTAAAAATAAGAAGAAGCTAGAAGTACATTATGGAAGAAAGACCAAAATAATATATCCCTTGAAAAAATTCGCCACACATTCCGTGTAATCCTACCAATAATTCTCTCTCATATCTTCTTCAAGAGCCACACATTCACCCTTGTTTTTTTGGAAGAAAGACCAAAATAATATTAAAACATTGAAAATATACCAAAATAAGACTTCTATAATTTTATTCTCAAAATAGTACTTACATTACCAAACATGGTCATGTACATTATCAAAAAAAATATAGTAATGTGCACATGTACAGTGCCACATTACCACATGACAAAGTCCTATTTCGAAAAAAAACATGAAAGTTCTATTTTGCTACTTTTCTCTATGTCTTAGTCCTATTTAGGGTGATTTCTATTGTTTTAGAGAAAAAAAGAGTAGAGAATATGAGAAAAAGAAAAAATGACGAGTCAAAATTTAAAAATTGAAACATATAAGATTATAATTTGATCTAAAGTAACCTAATAGTAATTTGGAAAACCGGCTTCAAATACTTTCTCAATATTTCTTTAAAGTTCGATTATTTTTGTGAAAAAATAAAAAATTTAAGTACCAAAATGATATATCACCCATAAAATGAATCAAATTTCGAACGTAGTAGTGTTATTATATGTGGGAGTATGACTTTAGTTTGGGTCTTTGGGATTGATATGACACAATTACATTAGAGGTCCGTTTGGTACACGGAATTGATGAAATTGGAATTGAATTGGAATTAAAATTTTATGGAATTCAATTCCATAGAATTGAATTCACCAATTCCAATTCATTTTTTGCACTACCAATTCCAAATCTACATAATTTTTGTGCTACCAAACACGAAAATTAGAATTGAAGTCCTCAATTTCAATTCCATAATTTAAATTTCGTGTACCAAACGGGACCTAGGTGAACTTTTGACCATTCAGTGTAAACTTTTGAAATGTGTTCTTGAACCGGAGTATAACTTTTTGAAAACTTGCAGATAACATCCAATTAGTATTCATTAACTCACTCGTGATTGTTGATATTTAATTTATGCATTGACTTAAGCATACTTGACATTAAATTATTTCTTATACTACCAAAGACATATTTCGGAATAACGTTAGAGATTAGTGTTAACATCTTGAATAAAATTTTAACGGTGCAGATTAATTATTTTGAAAAGATTAGCACTAAACGCTGCCTGTAGAGTGTAGATAGCATTTTCAAAACGATAACGCTAACTTCTAACGTTATTCCTAAACAGATCCTAAAACTTATCCTCTTCATATGATCTAAAAGGTTTTAATTAGAACTCATTAACATAAGATTTGGAACATAAAATTAGATTTGTTTCAGATCTAATATGGTTTGATCTAACCTGAATCTTTTTTTTATTTGAGATTAATTTTTTATTTTAATTACAATAAGAACAAACAATCTGAATAAGTTCTGAATGTTAAATGTTGAGGAACAATTGGAACTCGAAGATGGTGAGTGTTCATTGATACAAATGCCCATAAAGATGAATACGGGTGATACAAACGATGAGCCAGCACGGTGATATAAACGAGGAGACTAATACAAAATACACACAAAAATATATACACGCTAACAAGTTCAATAAAACAATAGTCTAAAGATTTCAATTCATAGGCTCACTTTTGTAATTTTGTCAACATGGCCAGAAGTTTCGCCATCACATTTTCATAGCGATTCTAGAATTTCATTTTCGTCAGTTGTCATCTCTTTGACGAATAACAACGAGCTAGGGTTGGCACATCGAAAAGATCCTTTGTAAACACATCAAATACTCTCTCCCTCACTAAAAGATCTTTCACTTTCAATTTTTTTGTTGTCCCCAAAAAATGTTCCTTTATCTATCAAAAAACCACTTTTACTCCTTACATTTTCATACTCTACCTATCACATTATACCTTATTACTAATATTTTATCCATCACATCTTATTTTTACCCATCACCTCAAGGTATTATTTGGAAAGTCAATACAAAAATATTTTCTCTTAATTTCCCAAAAAGTCAATAAGGAAAACTTTTTAAGGGACGGAGAAAGTATTTTTACTCGGTTCCTAATTCGTATTTGAGTGTGTGTGTGTCTGTATATATACACACATGCATACACACACACATATATGTGTGTGTGTAGAGTGATTAAGGTAAGAACGGTCTTAATAGTGAGAAACGAGAATGGTGGGCTTATGGTTCAATGTGATGTATTTTAAACTTATAGTAATGTATTTTCGGTACTAGTAGAAAAGTTTGATTTATTTACAAAATAACCATCGTCCTTAAATCTAACTCCATCCGTCCTTGAAAAAATCTTCATTTTTTAACTTTTTTTTTCAAATAGTGACACCCTTTGGCTTTTAATAAACAACGTTAAAAACTATATGAGTGTCAAATAGTGACACCCTTTAACTTTTTGTGGGTTTATCTTAAAATTATAATTTTGATGTATCAAATTTTTCTAAAAGGATTTTGCTTTTAATAAACAACATTAAAAACCATATGAGTGTCATTTTTGAGACTTAATAAAAAGCAGGAAAATTCTATTTGTAGTCACATTTGTACCCCAATGATTTACCCTGACATTAAATATAAGTGCAAAACTACTATAATATCAGTGTTGCACTTGCATTTTGTATCAGGATAAACTTTTGGAATACAAAATGGGGTGAAAATAGCAAATCCTAAAAAGTAAAGTGACAATAATATAGAAGCAAAAAAGGGAATGCCATTTTTTTTTATAAAAACAAATACGGAGTAGTTAGGTCTCATTCAAATTTCTGCACTCGATGAACTTTATTGGGATGTTTTTTTCTTAAGGTGTTGCATCAATTTAGGTTTTGACCATAGAGATTTTGGATTCACTTATCACATTATAAAATGTGAATCTTTGTGTCAAGTGACAATCAAGTGAGATGACATGGGAAAAAAAATCGATCACAAAAATAATCCTTATTAATTTGATTTAATGGAGTGGCGATATCATTTAATTTGAAAATATTGACGTAAAAAAATAGATTAACAATACAAATTATTCCAATTTATAAAACATTACATGGATAACTCATTACACTGGAGGCAAGACACACGATGGACCCAACATCTAATTGTATGGTACATATGAGGAAGCTAAGAGAAGAGAAAACTCCATCCAAGCCAACATATATATCATTTAATTTCCTTATTCAACTTAAAGAAAACCAAACAAACACTCATGATGACGACGACCACAACAACAACAAGACAGTGAAGACATTAATCATAGGTATTAAGCGGCATAGGTCGATGGGTTTTGAAGCAAGTAATTCTGAACAAGTTGAACCATCTGAATCCATTTCTCTTTGTCTGTGTTGATTTCCTCCTCCGTAATCACAAATCCATCCTTGATGTGATACACACTTTTGGCCTTGCAGATGCACCCGTCTCCGTCACCCTTGCCTACGAAAGACACCTCGTATATGACACTCGCCAGCTTTTCTCCCAGCATATCTCCCTCGAACATCTTGTTCTTGTACGCCAACTTCTCCTCGTCGATCTCCATGATCTCGACTGTAAAATACTTCTCTTTATCACCTGTTGTGTATAAGATACGTATCAGATCAGATCAGAACTAATTAATCACACACTCTCAATCAGTACGTACATATTATATATATTAACGACCAACCAACCTTCTTTGTAATAGGTCTTCTTAATGGTACCGGCACCACCATCACCTTGAAGAGTGTGAATGTTGGTGACGTAACCAGGCAAGACCTTTGGGAAGAGTTGGTCTGAGCCAACGGACAAAGCTTTGAACAGCCTTTTAGGTGCAATGGCGGTTTCAACCTCATTGGTGTGGATTTCCACGCCCATTGTGACTTGTTCTTTTGGGGATAATTAATAAGAACAAATGAAGGATTTGATAATGTCTTTAGTAATTAGCTTGTGAATTGTGATGAGATTGTCGCCAAAGTTGTGGCGCTATTTATAGGACACAAGTGAGATCGAGTACTATGGGTTGGGGACAATTTTCAACACTAGTCTTTACTTTGATTTCCATTAGTATTTTATTGCTATTCTAGATGTTCAACTCATTCTTCTATCAAGTCCATCCATTCTATTTGCTTGTGTGCATATTGATATTCCCTCCTTCCCAAACTTGAATAAAAACAAAAAACAAAATAAAATTAGGGTTCTTTTTTTCAAGAATGAGTTTTTTATGTAAGATCTTAAGTTGATCAATTTCGGGTCATTTTTTGTAATTATTTTGATACGAGTCTATAAGATGTGATGTAAGACTTTTTTTTTGTTTGGTCGAGACATCGGTATATTATTCAAGTCTGGTTTTTTTTCAATTAAGATTAATAAAAAGTAGTGCTTCGTTTGTTTTTTAATTTTTGCTACATGGATTGGTGACGTACAACCAAAAAATAAAAAATAATATGATTGGCATTAATTTTAAAAAGTACAGAAAGAATGTGAGTCACAAAAAATTACAAATACGATTTTGGATAAAATATAATGACATAAAAGAAAATAAAAATAGATTAAAAATTAAAGATTAACGTATTTATTTTTTAATTGAAATATGAAATTTATAAAATAAAATAATCATTTTAACATTTTTTTGTTTTATAAATATGAAATTTCCAGAGTTTCTTACAACTCTTTCCAGTTTTTTCATCTCCTTCAAATTTTTTTATATTCTTTCAATTTCTTCTAACTCCTTCTAGTTTCTTCTAACCCATTCAATTTCAAGTTTTTTCAACTCTTTCTAATTTCCTCCAATCCTTTCTAGTTTCTTGACTTTCTTCTAACACCCAACTCTATTTTTCCTACCAGAAAAAGACAAAGCCGGATGTTAAATGGAACGTAGTACTTTGTATATTATTAATAGAAATCACTCTAAATAGGACTAAAACATAGAGAAAAATATCAAAATAGGATTTTCATTTTTTTTTCCCGAAATAAGACTTCACACTGTGGTAATGTGGTTGTAATGTTGCACTGTACATGTGTACATTACTATACTTTTTGGTAATGTACATGACAATGTTTGGTAATGTAAATGCATTTTAAGTCCTATTTCGGAAATAAAAACATGAAAGTCCTATTTTGGTATATTTTCAATGTTTTAGTCCTAGTTTGTTCTTTCTTCCTATTATTAACTGCTATATTATTTTTTCTAATTTTGATGTTAGTGTCTATTATATATTTATACTCCGGGGTACTAAAAATCATATTAGACATATATTTTATTAAATGCTCTAAAATATCATATTAAAGAAAATTTACAAAATCGAAAGAAATTTCATTTCATCCGTTTGTGACACAAATTAAAATACAAGAAATCACCTTAAATAAGAGTAAAATATAGAGAAAGTACTTAAATAAGATCTTGGTATTTTTATTCCCAAAAAAGAAGTTTGCATTGTGGTAATGTGTACTGGATATGAACATCTTATAATACTCTTTTATGATGTATGTTGTCATGATTGACACTGTATATATGTATTTTAATCCTTATTTTGAAAAAAAATTAAACTCTATTTTGGTATATTTTTCAAAATTTTTTTATATTTTAGTCTTTTTTTTTCTCTAAAAATACTACCCCGTAGTTTGTTAATAGTTAATACGGACTATTCCAGAAGTCTTTTAAAATCCGTACTTTATGGCGTATATCAATAAATAATGTGTGAGTTTTTCAAAAGATATATTGAATTCAGGAATCCTTTAAAAAAAGTTTACATTCAATACTCAAGAAGTTTTCAAAAGTTTATGTTTCATAATATTCTTCTCATTTGACTTTTCTTGGTCAAAGTTTGTAAACTTTGACTATGATAAGTGGAAAAAATACATTGTATTAGGAAATAACTTTAATATGAATATATTCATTTTGAAATATAGTTTTCAAATATCAAATTTTTATAAAATATATCCATGTATAAATAAAGAAAATAGCGATCAAAGTGTAATCTTGGAGACCGTAAAAAGTCAAATGGGAAGAACATTTTCGAACGGAGGGAGTAATTTTTTTTCTATCCCTATACTTTTTTCAAAAGGGCATCAGCATGAGATGACAAAAAAACATCCGTAATAAATTTATTTCGGAGTAGAAATGGGATAAAAATATAATCTTACTTTTAGATTCTATTTTTGTAAATTTAAATATTTCACTTTCATATTCTAGATTTATAACTTTTATATTTTCTAATTTTATCACTAGTAAGTTATTTTTAATAGGGAATTACTATTTATGAATTCGAGCACTATTTTAGTTTAATGAAATCACCCAAAATATGAGTAGAACATATCCATTATTGATCCCTAATCCGAATGACATGTTTTAACTTCAAAATAGTACTACTACACTATGAAAATGAAGTGACACTATATGAGTAGAACATATCCATTATAACTCTTGCACCTCCACAAGACCTGTCGTGGCAACACAAAAGGTATAGTTTTACAATGCATAAGTTGTCAAAGTTCTACATGAGATTATTGTATTTTTCTTGGAAGACAATCTAGTGTATAAGCTGAATATCAGGCCGTAGCAAATACTGTTGAAGAATCAAGCTGAATTCATAATTTCTTTCTTGAGCTTCACCAACCTCTTAGCAGAGCCGCTTCTATCTTCTGTGACAATATTAGTGTCGTGTATCTTTCAACAAATACGATCCAAGATCATCACACCAAACACGTTGAAGTGGATATTCACTTTGTTCGCGACAAAGTACCTCTTGGACTGGTCTAAGTATTACATGTTCCTTCATCTTCCCAGTTTGTTTATACTTCAGGGTATCTTCACTAAAGGGCTCTCATATCTCTTATTTCATGACTTCAGAGAAAGCCTCAGCATTCATTCTTCATCTCTTAGGCCGCACAGAGCATGCTAAATATAGTAAATATATTTATTTAATATTGTTTCCTTTTGTATAAAAATTCTTTTATCCACTCATACCTTTTGTATATTCTTATCATGTATAGGAATAGTTAGGAGTAGTATATATATACCCCATGTACTCTAAATTGATTTTTGAATCGTTCAACTATTTTCATTCTTCAATGCCATTATTTTTTAAAAATCAAATCTCACCTACCCAATTTCTCTATATGTCCTCATTCTAAAATTTCACGAACTTTACTCGTTTCAATTATCATTGTTTCTCTTTTGTTAAACATTAACGATTTCTCTTCTCAAAAGTTAAAACTAGAGAAGTTTAGTAAATCGATGAGAGCAGTAAATATTAAAAAATAAAAAAATAAAATACATTCCATTTTTACTAGCTGGTCGATGCAAAAATCATTTGGTTTTGTACTGAAACTAAACTGGAACCTAATTCTAAGACCGGAGACCCATCCAGAATTTCACTAGTCTAGATAGTCTAGTTCCATTTTTTTTAGAGCAATGCTAGGGGTACACCAAAGGTGTACCCCAAATGTACACCACCCCCTTCTCCACCACTTATTTTTATTTTATTTTTATTTATTCATTTTTTTTTGAATTTCTTGCCTTTTTTCGTGGACAAGGAGGGGTGGGGGACAAATGGGGTACACATTTGGTGTACCCCTAGTCTTTTTCATTTTTTAAGGGCCTGTTTGGGAACAACATTAGAGTTTAGAGTCAGAGATTAGAGTTAGAGATTAGAGTTAGCTATTAGCTGTTAGCATCAGAGTTAATGATTAGCTTTTTGGTTTTTTATCGTTTGGTAATTGAATTTTTTTGAAAGTAAATAAATTCCAAATTACTAAAATACCCAATTGAATTTACACAATTTAAAGTTTAAAAACTAGCTGAGTTTAATATTATTGGTGTGAAAATTACTCTGTACTTTTAATAAATTATAATTGTTGTTACATCGAGAAAATTACCTCGTTTTCAACTGATTTTACAAAAAAACACACAGCATTTTTCTTTTTATATAGAGCATTACATCCATTAAAAAAGACCATTACAAATACAAATCGGATAGAAATGATTTTTTCTAAAAAATTTAAATCAGCCCAGCAATTTTACATTATACCCGAATGGGCCCTAATCCACATCTACTTTGGCAGCAAGTGGCGGGTTTTCTTCCTCGTTTCCTCCACTGCGTTGGAGATCTCTTTACTTGTAAAGTTATGCCATTAAATAATACGGAGTACAGAGTAAATGTATTGATGAAATTCTCGAACCTGTATTGATGGGTAAAAGAGTAAAATCAATCTCAAACGCTCAATTTTGTGCTAGAACGCTGGGGAGCCTGAGCGTCTTGCGTTTAGCGCTGCGGAAGAATAGGAAGGGATAACGCAGACGAAAAACGCTGGTAATCAGTCGGAAAACAAACATCTAAAATCGTAGACTGCAGCTTTTTACTAATAAAAAGCTAATCCCAAACGGAACCTAAGGCTCCGTTTGGAAAATGGCATTTCGGCTCAAGATTGGCTTCTTTGATTATACTTGGCTGTTTTGAATAGTCAAACAGCTAATTTAAGTGTTTGGATAATGGCTTCTTTGTTTAGCAGCTTGGTCTGAACAGCCAAGATTCAAAATGCCAAGAAGAGGAGCGTTTATGTTCGGCAGTTCATTCTTTTCCTTTAGTGCCCTTTTTCAAGTATTTTCCTTTAAATAAGTATCTTTGTTTATTAAAATTAAAAACAGCAACTTCGTTATACACGAAGAAAAAACTGCTTTGATCCTTCAAAAAAAATCAGCAGTTTTACTATGTTGTTTGTCTTTCTTCAAAGCCAGGTTCTCAATACTCAATCTAAATTACTATGAAAAAAATATGATGTCTTCTCCTAGATCTAAGCATCGTGCCATAGAGAAAAAAATTATAAAGATTCAGTGCAATTGATATTCACAATATATAAGAAACAAGAATGAAAAATAAACAAAAAGAAATAAAATAAAGATGCCTCGAAGTGAGATAAAGATGTCATTTATGGAGAAAAAAGACGATGTAGGTAAAAGTTTGAGAAAAAGTTGGAAAGAATTGAGTGAAAAAATACTCCATACCGAGTAAAGAATATAATGGGTACCCAAAATGATATAAAAAAAAGTAATATGTATACAAAAATTTAAGTTACCTAAAAGTAATAAATGAAAAAAATTATGTATATATAAAATTAAATTTTATATATAAATATATATATATATATATGTGTGTGTGTGTGTATATATATACACACACACACATTAAAAAATAGAGTATGTAGTATGTCCTTAAAGGTAATTTCATTCGCAACAGCTAATTATGACCAGCTAAGTTTGCCAAACATTTTTTCGTAACAGTCAATACAATCAGCCAGTCAAAACAGCCAACTCAACCAGCTATTCAAACCTGCCAACACAAACAGCCAAGAGCCAACATCCAACTACTATTTTCCAAACAAGGCCTAAATCTGATTTGGCAAGCGTTTCGGTCCGACTTGAATTTTGTACACTCCTCCGGTCCCTACTATAATCGGGCCCGATTCATGTTGACTCAACCTAACCGGACTCAAAGGTCTCCTGCCTTTAAAAAAAATACTGTAAAAACCTTGTGCGGTCGACCCTCTCTATCTGATAGGGTTTAGGGTTTGAAAGCTGAGCCATGGCAATCAAAGGCAAATCCGGCAGCGGCGATCGCTCCATGATTTCTCGCATCTCGGAGTCCTCCGTAATCCGGAAAGGCAAGAGCGCTGCTTATGACGCGGCCTATGTAGGCAAGCGTTTGGCGAAGAGCACCGGCAAGGCGGCATGGATCGCCGCCACCACTTTCATCATCATCGCCGTCCCACTCATCATCGTAATGGACCGTGAACAGATGCTCAACGAACTCGATCTCCAGCAGGCAAGCGTCTTCGGCACTCCTCCGCCTTCCTCCGCCGGCCCGCCTCAAAAGTAATCGAATCTTTCAATTTTAGGTTTCTGCCCTTCCGAAATTTAGATGATTTTTTTTCTTCCTGGGCGGTTTAATTTTTGTGTAATCGTGTTTGTGTTTAATCTATCTTACTCTTGGAAATCGATTTACTTATATATCGATTGTTTGAACTTTTTTTGTGATGTTGCTTTGATTCATTCATGTGGCCTCCTGCTTTTCAATTTCCTCCGTTTGGTACACGAAATTCAAACTATGGAATTGGAATTGGATACAACAATTCTAATTCTGCAGTTTGGTAGCACAAAAATATATTGATTTGGAATTGGTTGTGCCAAAAATGGATTGGAATTGGAGAATTCAATTTCTTCCAAATGAATTCAATGGAATTTCAACTCCCAATTCAATTCCAATTCCGTGTACCAAACGGATCCTATGTCTGATTCCAAAATTTTGATTTTTTGTACGCAAGCAATGGCAACTCTCTTTGAAGCTTTTATGCATGATATTCATGGAAATAATATTTGAGTGTTTCAAAATTGTTTGTCCAAATTCTTTTGAGAATCTTAAACGATTCTTTATGGGGATCGTTTTTCGTTTACTGCTAATTCAGCACTCTCGTTGTTCATAGGGTGTGTTTTGTTGGAGGGGAAGGAAACTGCCCCTCCCGAGCATCCTTCATTTGGAGGGTGGACAACCGAACTTCTCCCTCCTCTCCCCTTTACATTTGGAGGGTGGGGAGAGGTGGGAATTTCGGAACCACCCTTCAAATGTTTTGCGGAACATTTTCCCTCTCCCCTTTTCAAACACGTAACTGCTTGGATTATTGTCCGAATCTGTTAGGTATTTACACCATACCATCCTGTTGTGTTAATTTCGAATCGTATTCCCCTCCTCTTTACACTTGGTAATGAAAAAGCTTATGAGCTTTGAATGCTCTTACTAGACTATATTTGAACTTTCCATCTCTTGAAACTGCTAGTAAATGTAATGTCCTGTCTTCACCATGACATTCTTCAACTTATGCTGTTCTATCTGCTTGAAAACCGAGTAATGCTCTTTGCAAACTGTCTGCTGCCGAGGGCAAGTCGTTGATGCTTATAAGCTTTTTTGTTTACAATGCATCGATATGTTTGTGTTTTAGCTCTGTATCCTTCATCACTATCATCATAATCTATGATGATTTTTTGTTTTTGCTTTTTTAAAGCTTTGAATCAAGTTTTAGTGGTTTGGATGAATCTTTGATGGATGGGTGTTGTGAGATCTGAACTTGAACAACCAACAGAAGTTAAAATGCACCCTCATACTTGTCTTCAAATCTTTATTTATTGTTATGATCACATTGAAAATCTAACATTATTCCTTATTTATATGTAATGGCAATGCTAACTATCTTAAGTAAAAGTCTTTATAAACTAGTTTGTGAAAATTTTCTTTGGCTTCGTCCAACTGCATTGTTCTTGAAAAATCAATAAAACTGTGTATAGGAAATGACCCATGAAAAGATTTGGGATTGATTGGGATTAGTTTAAATTAAATAAACCAAAATTAAGCAATTACAGAGTAAAAAGAAACTAAAAAGAATGAAAGTTGTAGAATTACCTCTTTTTTCGTAATATTTTGAATTGCCTCTGGCTATGTTCTCATCAAACTATTTTTTACTTATTCTTATTGGAATCAGATTAGATTAGATCAGATTAGATTAGAAATAATTTTAAATATAACTATATTCAGATTAGATCAGATCAGATAAAAATTTATTCCAATCAGATCAGAAATGTTCTCATCAAACTATTTTTTATTTATTCTTATTGGAATCAGATTAGATTAGACCAGATTAGATTAGAAATAACTTTAAATATAACTATATTCAGATTAGATCAGATCAGATAAAAATTTATTCCAATCAGATCAGAATCAATCAGATCAGGTGAAGAGAAAATGGTCTCAAAAGGGCTAAGTATGAGTGTGATAATGATTAAAAATTTAAAATACTGAGTAAGCATTTTCTTATCATTTAAATAAGCATCTACCGAGTATTAAACAAGTACTTAGGTAGGTAGGTAGGTAGGGGTATATGGTAATGCCACATTCGCTCACCATCTTGTTTGACTCTTAAACTCTGATTAAGTTTCAAATTATTTACGTGGAAGATATTACAATAATTTGAATCACATACTGATACTGCTTGTTTAAGAACAAATACTCTCTTTGTCCGCAAATGATATTCTCATTTAAATTTTCACGCTCTCAAATGTAAAACGCTTACTATTAATATCTACATTTATACATGGATATATTTTATGAAAATTTTATATTTCACAACTACGTTTCACAAGGAAACTATTGATATTACATTTATATCGAAACACAATGTATTTTTTCATATATGGGGATCAAAGTTTACAAACTTTGACCAACAAAAGTCAAACAAGAAGATCATTTTCGAGCGGAGGAAGTAGTGTATAAGCTACCAGTTATCTCCACAAGTACAGCTCCCACTCAAGAATGTATGGTATCTATTAACATCCCTAACTACAATCTCCATCTCCACCACTCTGCTAACATACTTGAAAGCTTCATGGCAGTCCCTGCAGATCCTCAAATTCTTCACAATCCTCAGAGGTTTACCACAGGGATTCACCCCACTCAACAGCCCAAATGCCAGTGCCAGTTTCTCACTGTGTTGCCACAACACTTCTGCTTTGTGACTCTCATCCACATCATGCATCATCTCATTCCAAACAGGCACATACCCAAGCCTCTCAATCTCCCCCTTCAACTCCCCCAACTTGTGGTATATCTCCTCCCTCCTCTCGTGGGCCCGGTCCTCGGCCGAGAACACGTGGACCTCCCCGCGTACCTCGACCCAGCTCCGCCCCCCCTCCTTTCCGACCCCTTTCTCCTTCATTGTTTTCCAAACGTGCCTCACATGGTCCCACTTCCCAGCGCCCGCGAATGCGTTTGCCAGGATGACATAAGCTGAGTCATCGTTCGGGTTGATCTCAAGCAGCCTGTCTCTCATCTTCCATGCCATGTCGGTCTCCCCATGGTGCGCGCTGGTGGACAGCAGCGCGCGCCACACGGCGGCGTCTGGCTTGAAGGGCATTGTGGAGGCTAGGGTTTCGGCGGGGCCCAGTTCGCCGGCTTTCCCCATGGCAGTGATCAAACATGTGTAGTGCTCAAGCCAGGGCTCCAAGTTGTAGTCTTCCTGCATCGCCCTGAACCATTCTTTGGCCTCTTGGGACAGTCCGGCGTGGCAGAGTGCGGTCAAAACAGCCAGGAAACAGTACCCGTCGGGCTTCATACCGCGACTCTGCATTGCCGCGAAAAGCTCAGCCGCGTTCTTGGAATCCCCTTGCTGCGCATACGCTGACATCATCGTGCTCCATCCTACATCGTTCAATGATGTTTCCAGTTCATCGAAAACGGCGCGAGCTTCCCTTATGAGCCCACATCTCCCATACCCATCAATCAGCGCGCTTCGGACAACCACATCCGAATCCAAACCGGTTCTTGCGGCGTGCCCGTGGAGTGTCCTACATTGCTCCAAGAGAGCCATCTCTGAAGCAGCCCGCAATGTTGCCGAGACACTGTGGGTAGTGGAAGCCACCCCACACCTCTTCATCTCAAGAAAGTAAGACATAGCCTCAACGGGTCTGCGGTTCTGAGCCAAACCCACAATGATCGAGGAGAAACAGACCTCATCCCTGTCAAGCATTTCGTCGAACACCTTCTGTGCATTGTCTAGAAAGCTTGTTTTACAGTAGAACGAAACGAGTGCGGAGGCCGTGAAGGGCTCGGACGAGAGGCCGAGCTTGTGGGCCATGGAGTGGAGCTGGATCCCGAAGGAGAGAGCGGAAAGGGAGGCGCAGGTTTTGAGGAGGGCGGAGAGAGTGCGGTGGTTAGGAAAGAGGCGGCCGGGGCGGCGGAGCATGGAGAGGAAGTGGTGGAAGGAGAGGGTTGAGTCGTGGAAAGTGGAGATGAGACAGGTCCAGGAAACCACATTGGGATTGGGGATGGACTGAAATATGCGGATGGCGTCGGAGCGGCGGCCGGACTTGGAGTAGAGGGTGATGAGATTGTTGAGCGCCCCGCGGTCGGGGGACGCGCCGCCGGATCTGAGGACTCGCGCGTGGGCGCATCGTGGGTCGACTACCAGTGCCTTCCCAGATGATGATGATGATGATGCACTCATTTCCGCCATTATTTTTGCTCTACCCTCTCCCACATTTACATTGCTTCATTTTAAAAAAATTAAGGAGTCTATGGATTTTAACACTATGGATTTTGTTTGATTTTCTCTCAAAAAATGCTTATATTTTCATTTTTAGAAATCTCTTTTCACAACCCTAGATTTCTATAGACTTCCACCCTTTTATCCTCCGGCGCCTTTCCATCTGTCCTCCAGCGTCCATATGTCCGTTCGTTCTCCATCCACCCGTTCTCCAGCGACAATCTGTCCGTCCCTTTGCGAGTTTTTAGTCTGTCTATCCTCTAGGCTCCAGCATCCGTCCACGCGTGTCGCCCTGTCATCCACCAGTGTTGTTCGTTTCCTAGTGTGGTTACACGGTGATCGACATCCCTATTGGACTTCACTATTGGACTCTCGAACACAAGTGATGTTTGGATTCTACATATTTTTCAAACTTCACATGGATTCTTCAAATTTTCAAACTCTACATGCATTTTACAAAAAAAAAATCAACCATGGATTCTACAAATTTTTCAAATCCATTAACTTTTTAAAATAAAAAAAAATCCAATAAAATTCTAATTGAATACATCCCCCTAAAAGTTCTAACCTTTCTCTAAATCCCTCTTGCCCATCACTTGCCTCTGACTCTCCCTCCCTCCTCCCCCACTCCTTCGTCGATTGGCTACAATGAGCCAATTCGGGGGTTGGGGGACAAGGGAGACTGAGGACGGACAGGGGGTATATGAGAGGTTAAGGGATAGAACAATTGATTTTTTAAGTGGAGGGGCAAGCATGAAAGTTATGAACAACGGAGTATCAATTTTTTTCAAACGGTGCACTGTAAATATTCATTTTCATCCCATGACATTAGAATTCAATGTCAATGGAATTAGTTCATATACTCCGTATTACACGTTTGAATATACGGTGTTAAATGTATATTCGTTGAAAACATCCATTCTCGCTATTTTCAAATCATATTATTTTTTAAACTGAGACCAAGAGAACACACCTTAAATCTCATCACTCAAAAGAGGCCAAAATGCAAAGGCAAACACCTCACATAACCAATAACAAAAGAGAGGCACAAGAGTATGGGTATGAGCTAAAATAAAAACATGTGAGCATATGATATAACCATGAGCACACATGATGGACATGAATACATGATATTATGCAACTTACTAAAGTTGTTAGACCAATTTGAGCTAAATGGTGTGCACTAGTGGAGAATATGATATTTGATGAACCCAAAGAATTTGACAAATTGGAGGGCCATATTATATGAGAAATTGAAAAGAAAAAAAGAAAAAAAAAAAGAGAGAGATGGCATTCACATGGGCAATTGCCAATTGGGAAGAAAGGCCAAAACCCCTGTAGGGCTATTTTCCAATCATTTTCATTGTTGACAAAAATGGATTCTTTCTTGCATCATCCCTCCCAAAAAAATTAAAAACAAAAGAAAATTACTTAACATTCATTAACAGCTGGCACCCCCACCAACCCACAAAAAAAAAAAAAAACCTACCCAAACTCCCAATCAGTTCTTCACCAACATAAGTCCAACTCCAGTAAGATGTCAAGTATTTTTCCCTCTGATGGAATTAACATAATGCAGTACATGTTTCAGCTAAGAACCCAGCTGCTTTTCCTTTAATAATCTGCAGGACACCGCGAACCAAAAGACAAAAAAATGGCATAAGAAACCGACGAACATAATACTCTGGTAACACTATTCCATATTTCAATGGTTGTACGCGTACATACCGTCACGTTTCTTTGTTAAACTCCTCACAAACAGCAAGCAAGCGATTAAAAATCCCACTCCTGCAGCCCCTCCAACTACTATAGCTGCCGTCTTCCCTGCATTTTGTCCTGACCGAGCAACAATTTAGTATATAATGCATGAGATTGTAGTTAGTTTGCAGTTTAGGACATAAGCTATTGGTAATAAAATTCACAGAGAGCCTCAAACATGATCTCAACATCAGACGAACATCTTGTTTAGATTATCAAACATTGAAAACAAAAATAATGCATAACCCGGTGTTTCTCAAAACTCAAAGAGAATAGAGTTCTTGTTTAGATGAATGCATATCTTGATATGCATTTGATCTTTTATAAAAATTGATGGAATAACATGATATGGAGTAATCGATAGCGCAGCATTTCAATCACTCTTTAATCATTTTTCAAAGAATTTCATTTCAAAACTCTCCATCCAAATGGACTCCTACGTGGGAAGTTAGAAAAACTTGGGTTTTATCGGGCGCTTGTCCCAACTGCACAACATGAGTTTGTGTGACTACTTGGATACTCTTGTGAGACAATATAATGCTGCCAATGGAGTTCAATCCCGGCGAGAAGGGGAAAAGGGGAACCATAACCCCATTGTCAAGAGAATACAGTTCTTGATTAGGATGAATGTTCAATTTTCACTACATACAGCCACTCCTGCTAGAAACCAGACGATAGCGCAACAAGACATTGAACCTGGATTTGATAAACAAGCATACGAAAGCAGATACCTGAGGAAGGAGATTGGTATGGGGATGAAGGGGATAAAGGCTTGGGGAGGCCATTGGAATAAGTGCTATAGCTAACAAAGCACTTGTGGAGAAAGATTTGGCCAGAAATAGAGCTCCCACACTCAACCTGAGCTCTCTGGACAGCACTTTTCACACACTCGCCGCAGTCAGAGCTCCCCACGTCGCCCTCGCACTGCCCCAACACATACACAGACCCATAGCTGGTGGTGTAGAACCCATTGGAGCTACTACCCATCCCTCCAACCAAATTGGTAAATGCAGTGTCCCTCCTCTCCTCAAACCCACTCCCCTGCCCATTCTTCTTGCTGCAAGTCTTGTACAGCATCTCCATCCCTGAGATTTGTGGGAACCCGGAGACCTCATAGAGCATGTAGCACCCAAAAAGCTGGATTCTTGCGGCCATGGGGCGGCCACAGAGCTTGTCTATGAGAATCGGGAGCCTGTTCACACAGCTATAGCACTCTACATTGGACAGGTCACCCCTACACTGGAAGAGGCCAGTCACAGTGTTAGGGCTGCTCCCAGTGGTGGTTTTGAAGAACTTGGATTTGGAGGACTGGGCAATGAGAGAGCCGTAAAGGGTAGAGAGGGCTTGCGAGTAAACCCCTCCCGGATCTGACAAATCCTGCTTCGCACAACCCTTGTAAATCAGGGTGGTGAACTCAGATTCGGAGCTGGCTTGGGAAATGAGGACATGGATGGAGAGGAGGAGAAGAAGAAGAAAAAGAAGAAGAAATGATGGGGTTTTAATGGCGGCGGAAAAGGGGGTTTGAGACGAGAAACCCATCTCTGGGATTCTTGGTGCATCAAACCATGGGTGAGATGAGGAGGGTTTGTGCTGAGGAATTGGGGTGATGATTTTGTACTCTGATTTCTTCTTGTTTCTGCTTCCCACTTTGGCTTCTCAAGAACACAAAAGTGTCTTTAATTTTTGGTTAATGAATGGTGATGATGCTGCACTCCGTATTTTATACGGTGGCCTTTATTAACTACGGAGTATATTGAGTCATGCCCAAGTTATTTAGTTATCCCTCAACAATGTCATTTTAACTAAACTAATATTTGGCCCGTGCCAAAGGTGCCATACACGGGATTGAACAAAATAATGTCGATTTTGTAAATTTTTTCAAGGATCTATTCTTTTAACATTTAAATCTTGGGATTCATTCGATTGGAAGAAAAAAATTAAAAATTTCCATTCAATTTTTTTACATTTGATTTCATAAGCTGTAGGAATCTTTGAAGAAATATAGTCTCAAGATAGAGGAATTTCAATCGGGCTTAATAGCATGGGTATCCCCGTGGTTTATAAAAAGAGCATCAAAACCTTCTTTGTTTTCAAAAATTGTTTGTAAAGTTTCTATGGTTTTTTTAAATAGAACACACATGTCCCCCTTACCTATTTTTAAATCAAAAATAACATTTATGCCCTTTCTTTTATCCGATCTTGAATTTTCCCAATTTTATTTTTTTTATTATGCAAATATATAAAATAAAATATACGCTTTCCATCTCAAATTAGAATTTTTCATAATGTACTTTTGAAAATAAAATATTTTTTTGGAGAATGTTACAAAAGAAAATGAAAAATAAAATATTATGTACAAAGTAAAAATAACACGGAGTAATTGAAAAATGTAATGAAAAGAAATAAACATATAAAAAACAGTCTTTTTCTTCAACTTCATATTTTATTTCAACTTTCTGTTCTCATTTTTTAAAGTCCTTTAAAAAATTATTTTACTTTTAAAAAACAATAAGATAAAATTTTAAATTAGAGATAGAGTGAGTATATGTTATCTAATTTTTAGTTTATTTATTTTACTTTTACTTATAATTAAAAAGTGTATTTTATTTAATTTTTTAATTTTTCATTTTTGTAACATTTTCCAAAAAAAAATATTTATTTGCTAATTATATTTAAGGACTTTTTTCAAAATAAAATATTTTGCAAAAATGACTTTAAGAAAAAATATTTTACAGAGACTAAAATGAAAATTTATCTATTTTACACAGACTAAAAACATATTTAATTCTTAAAACTTTAATATTTTGTAAGAATTTTTTGTGTGATCCAAGCTTAAGAAATCTTAGTTAGAAACGTGTTAAGTATGGGGGAGAAATATTCTGGGTTAGCGTTTTCAACATTTTTAATGAAATTTCAACACATTATTTGATGTGCTATTGACATGTTTTTTTATATACTTATTTTTATTTAACTATTCTCCATAATATTCTTTATTTTATTGTAAAAAAAGAAAAACAATAGTCTATAATTTAGGGTTTGAAATTTCGTGACTATAAAGTATATAGAGTATAGAGTCCTTAAGTCTTTATATTACCGTTTTAATATGGACTATGATTCTAGAGAGTATTATTCAAAAAAAAAAGTGAATGAAGGAGAAGTAGTATATTGGTAACTTATTCTACACATTATTTTTTTATGAACAAGTACTATTTTAACTTATTCTGCACATAATTCTCTTAATGTATTTTAGGAACATATTTTTTTCCATCTTATTCTACACATAACAAATTCTCTTAATGTATTTTAGGAACATGTATGTTTTTTTCATCTTAATTTCAACTTAGTATTTTCCTAAATAAAAGTTCAACAGAGCAACTTTAAATTAGAAATTTGGTGACTTAAGATTGGAGTCTAAAATTTGAGTTTTTATTTAAATGATTGATAAATATAGAAAAAATTCGTGTAAATATTTCCAGAGATGATTTGAAGAGTGGTCATTTGCTGTTTGGTTTAGGTGTAGTGTCGTAGTGTATATCATTGTATTCCTAATTTATGTGATGCTTTTGTAAACTGTGGATTGGTGAATTCTCGTCTCTTCAAAGTGTATTGCCTATATGTTGGTCAAAAAACATACCTATGCATAGTGGATTAATACACTTTCAGTAGAAAAGATGGTGAAATGTTATATGTGGACATTTAACTACCTCTTTGAATATGTCTTTGTTAGAAAACTCCAAGATAAAAGTGAGATTTTTTCATGTTTCATTTGGGGTTGAACACACAAAGCTTCACCTTCTTCATTCCTTCACCATAAAAGTTAATTGTCATGATCCCTTCATAGTACTTGTTCTGCTACGATCTTCTTTCTTCGTGTCTTTTGAATCATGATAATTCATGTGCAACTCCCTCAAAATTCATTATCTAATTCACATTAGAAAAAAAAAATAAAAGATTGTTTTCTTCATTATCACTTTCTTAAAAATCCTATTCATTTTCATGCTTAGTTCTAACATTATCGTCATTGTATTCATCAACACCATCATCACAATGAGACCATGTGTTGTGGAAGGGTTTGACGGAACGTGATAGTGTGTAAAATAGTATCATGTGGAGTCATAAAAATATGTGTGTTATGGCTGGTGTGAAGAGAAATAATGAGGTGTGAATATGTGTTATATATATTTTGATCGGTTGAAATATTAAAAAAAAGAATAGAAGACCCATCACTCACTTCGTGATGACTACCACTTGGACTGGAGCAACACCCCTGCACACATTCGGTGTGGTGTGGGAAGTGGGGCGTGAAGGGGGTGGTCACGGCGGGGGAAACACCCCATAATGCCTCCTTCATGATGTTGCACGGCGCCAGACTTCAATTGGAGGGGCGTTGCCCCTCTTCCAGTTACCCACATCACGGGCATTGCCCGCTTTCCTCTCCCTTTGTTTTTTTTTAATATTTTAACAAACTAAAATTTAACACATATTCATATCTCATCACTTTCTATCACATTTACCATATCATACATTTTTCATCGGTACACATCATATATCTTTACACACATCATGCCCCTTCAAGTCCAACCCGTTATAACATATGGTCTTGTGATGCCCACTTCACATTTTTTTTCATTGTGATTACTCTTATTTTCTAACTTCAAAAATCTAATATTTAAGCAGCAAAAAAAACCTTACAATTTGGTTTCTTCGGTTTCGCACTGCAATCGTTCTTGTTTGTTGGTAGATCCACACCAGGGCGTGGAAATGGAAAAAGCCCAGCAGCAACAGTGGTGGAAGTTAAGGTGGTCGTACAGGAACGCAACCATTTTGGTCTCTTCCTTCAACCTCATCGCCGCCCTCTTCTTCCTTCAAAGCTTCCTCTTTTCTTCTTCCCCTTCCACCAGATCCACACCAGGTTCACTAATCCCTTCTTCTTTCTCTTCACTTTTGCTGCTTTGATTCCAAGAATTCAGTCTTTTCTTTCTTGCCATTGTTTTCTGAGTTTTACTTGTCATTTTTTGGTTGAAAATATGATGTTTGTCTACTTGTTTGGCTGGTTCTTGAATTGAAGCCTTCTCTGTGTGCATCTTTTCCAAGTGAACAAATTTGCAGGTTTCCTTCATCAATGATTACTAAAGAAGATTCTGTTGTTGCCTCCAGAAATTTATTGGGTTTGGGATTGAGGGTATTTTAGGGTGTGTGATTGCTTTGATAAATAGCCTTTCTACTCCTTGGGTAGAGTTAAAATCTGGTATGGGTATTGAGTGCCCATTCAGCAACAACTTCAGCATTTTGAAAAGATTGTCTATTGACAACGTTTAACTTAAGCATTTTCAAAGTCAATTTGCACCATTAAAAAAATAAGCCGAATCCACGCTAATTGAAAGCCTTGTTCCCAAATGAGGTGTGAGTTTGATGGATTGGATTTGGTGTATGAGAGTTTACGGAAGTAAAATTAGGGGTTGAGCGGAGGAGATGAGCTATACAATCACTTGATTTACCTTTAACATCAAACAAGATACGTAGATAAGCATTCTTAGAACAAACCATACAAACCTAGTATATCCCACTCAAGTGTAGGGTGTGTGTGTGTGGGGGGGGATGTATGCAGACCTTAGTACCTTACCTCTATCCCAAGGGGGTGGAGAGGGTTTTTTTCCTGAAAGGGAAATAAGCGCTCTATGTATGTGCTAGAATATTCAGATTCTATGAACTTGTTTTCTTATAAAACCAAGATATTATTCACTTGATGTTGAATATGGGCAACTCTAAGCTCAGGTAACATATTTTCACACTTAGAAGCGCAGTTGAAAGGTACGTGAAGGAATCTCTAGAGATTCGGCGTGCAATGTTGCCCGTGGATCTAATAAAAAGAGTGAGTACAAGTGTTGGTTTCATAGTCATATTCACCTGTATTAAGGAAACTAAATGTATATGGACAAAGAAATATTGTATGGCTTTGGTTTGCATTTCCAAAAAAAGAGGTAATTTTGAGTTAAGAATGATGTGATTATGAAAATCACTATAAGCATGTTCTTCTAAGCATGGGGTAAATTACCAAAAACTCTTTGTACAACCACCACCACAAACCCTGTAAAATCTCACACAAAGTAGGATCCGGAGAGGGTAAGCGTATACAAGACTTATCCCTACTCAGAAGTAGAGAGACTGTTTCCAACATACCCTCGGCTCAAACACAGAAACACAAATAATGTAACACAGTAGCAAGGACAAAGTAAAAGCACAGACACAAGCTCTAGACCAAGGCAAAAAGCCCCAACATAAACCTACAAAGTAAGGCCCAATGGTCTACCCAACTACTCTAATCCTAGATCACTCGGTATCTCTAACTAAGGTCATATCGTCACTAAGATCTTGAATTCCTATGTTATGTCCAATCACCTCCTCTGACAAAATATGTGATTGTGATTCTAAAATAAGCAAAATCACACCAGAAATGCAAACCAAACACACCCATTGATTGGTGGCAATTCTTGCTCCTTAACTAAGAGGCATTTGGAACTGGAAATATTTGCTTGCTTCCCAGGTGAAGGAAATTGAGGAAGAAGCATACATTGAATCAGAAGCAGTTGAACATAAGGATGGAAAGCAGGGTGCTGCAGTAAATCTGATCTCTAGGATAAACAACTTTCGCTCTTATTCTGATGCTAATGGCATAAAAGGTAATATGCATATTGCCATTTGTTTTCCTTCCCATTTCCTGGGATTAATTAGAAGATGTTTTGGTGTGCTTATTCATTTTGAAAAGTGATTACTTTGATAACAGAATCTAAAAGCATTCCAGAGGTCCTTTTTAGCTCGCTTCTCCATCTCTAAAAAAACACTGAAAGCCATAAACTCTTAGATGGTATTTGCGGTTGTGGTAGGTTCGTGAAAAATCAAAAGTTATAAGTAAAAGCAAAAAGTTGATAGTCTCAGCTTTACATAACGGAAGTGCTGGAGTCCATTTCAGACTTTTGAAGTCATAATCTATAAGAAGTAGATTGCCAAACACGCTAAATTGTATTTTAGCAAAGCAGAAGCTCAAAAGCAGTTTTCAAACACAACGGCAAACACCCTCTCAAATATTTCAAATTGTTTCTGTCCAAAACAAAATTTGAGAATCATTTTTAAAAAAAACCCAAACACCCTCTAAGCTAACCATAAAAAATAGGTTTCTTTAATGCCCCCCCCCCCCCTCCCTAAAACCCTTTCCCTAGCATTTTATGTGCTCCAAACATTTACTCCCGTACAGCTTTATAGAGCTGCAGTTCTTGTCTTCCAACTGATACTTTTGTTTGCTCCATTTCACATTTTAAGTGCGCATTTGGCAACAACTTCAGTGTTTAGCTTTAGTCATATGGCATATCTGTGTGAATGATTTTAGTTTGAATTTCCTGAAATCTTTTGCTCTTCTGTTTGTGACTTTTTGTTGTTTGAAATGGACAGTCACTAATACATACTCTCTCCGTCCCCCTGTATTTGTCCACATTTGACTTTTGGAACTGTTCATCTAAGCACTTTGACTCATCAAATTCTCTCAATGTGTAATATGTGTAAGCCTAAATATAGTCATGTGTGATCTTGTTTGATTTGTCTTAACATATAGATTATTAATATATAATTTTTATAATTTTTTAATATACAAATTACAAGATAAAATGGATTAAAGAAGTGCATTCGATGGTGTGTAAAAATGAAAGTGGACAAATACAGGGGGACGGAGGGAGTATATTATTTCCCAAAAACTGGAGACTTGCAATTGCTATCGATCGATGGAGTTTATTTAGTTATTTACTTATTTATTTATTTATTTATTGTTGGAGCATTCAGCTCTTGAAGAATGGCGCAAGCGGAAAATGGAACGGGCCCGGAAGCGGGAACTTGGTAAGAATGGAACGAGCATCTGACGGGCTGTGATGGATGAGAGAAGTGGTGCGTTATTGGATCATTTTCACCCGTCTTGCCCAGATCCGGTACTGGTGTTTTTTGTTCGTACTTTTGTATATGAGCTGACAGTCTCTTGGAAGTATCCTTCTACTATAGGGGTAAGGTCTATCCCTCTCCAGATCATACTAAGTTTGTTGTAGTTATTGAAATTATGTAAACTTCATGTGAAATACACAGAAACTGCTCCATATGGGGGAGTGTATATCACTCCCTTTATTTGATTGTGCCTTCCCCAATTTGTATTATGAAAAATTAAGAAGTTCAGTTTTAAGACTGATTTGGGGTGCTTTTTTACTTTTCAAATTCCAGCTTTTAAGATGATTACTATACTTGTAAGTTATTATGGTTTGGTTTTTCTTGAAGAGAATTTTGGTTTGTTATTACAGTGGAGCCTGGATCATCTTTTAACAAAAGAGTCATGTTTTACAAAGTTAAGGCCTTTTCATTTTATGAAACTTTAAATTTAATATATTATTAACTATATCTATATTTCCAAATATAATTTGCAGTTTAACTAAATTTAGCATATTCAACCTGCTTCGAAAATGAGATTTCTTTTTTATAGTTTCCCAATAGTCTCCCCGTCTCGAAAAATGTTTTACATTTCTTTTTATTGTTTGTCCAAAACAAAGTTTAACTTTAAGGTACTCTGTATTTAATGAGATCTAATTTGTACTCCTTTTGCCCCAAAAAGAGTTGCATGTAAATAGCAAACAAATATGGGTTGCATAAATGGGTTAAAAGCATGGTTAAAAGATTGATCATGTAATAGTAAACAATCAAGTAAAATTAAAGTGGAAACGAGTAAAACATGAACAAAAATTAGTGTAGTAAACCAAGTTTTGAAAGGTTAATGAAGCAAATGGTCTAATTTTTTGACCCATTGTGAGTTCAAAAATATTACTGGTGGACGGTGGTAGGTAAAAAGTGATGAGTAACAAATCTTAAGAACTTAAGAGTTCCCCTATCAACCTACCTACTACTCCGTATTACGAAGTGATAACGGTTACTACTAATTGCTACTTCATTCATTCATAAATAACTGTCTATTACTACTCAGTATACCATATTCATACTCCAGTTTCAATGTGTACAAAAGAAACTTGAGAAAGAAAGGTTCTTTCCCTGCAAACTTACAAGTAGACACAATAAAAAAATGAGTTGATAGAATCATAGAAATGATACAAACTGTACATAATATAATGTACTCCTGATTGAGCAATGATAGGGATATGTATATAGGGTAAGGAAATAAATCAGGTGATTTGAGTGAACTTGCAGATAAAAGTACTGCCCCAGTTTCTCAATATACTTTGATACTTCAGCTCAAATTACTACCTCCTCCCAGGTAACTTTTCGGCCGGTCCGGTCGTGGGGACCCTAGGGATGAAGAGAAGGTGAAGGTGTGGGGGGTAAATTTTTGAAAGGTGAGGTGGGAAATGAAAAGGTGGAGTGAAAATGTAAAAAGTGAGGTAAAAGGAAGAAAACATGGGTAAAGAAAAGGTGGGTTGGGGTGGGTAATTTTTTGAATGTGCTTTTTTCCACAAAAAAGAAAGAGAGAAGGGAACCAATAATATGAAACCACCCAAAAAAGTTGGGACTTAAGAGAGGGAAGGAGTGACACTAATCTGACATGGACGAGCTTCTCACAGAAATCCTAAGACACCCATTGATGTCTGTAAGAAGGTGGGGGTGGAAGATGTGGTGAGAGTTGGGGTCATTTTAGCATTTTCCAATTTAATAGGGGGGTGCTGGCAAAATCATACCCATTGCCCAGCACATTTCTTAATTTAATGGGAAACAGAGGCCAAACCTTCGGTCTTCAGTGGTGTCTTGACAAGCAGCAGGGAGTTACAGTCTCAGTCTCAGATGGCATGATAAACTTACTTTCTCAGCATCCATTAAAGCAAGACATACACTGTAAAAATTAGAAAAGAGAGTTATACAATTTTAAGTTAATAATGGCAAATCTCATCGTCATAATAATGAAAATGGATAAGTAATACGCGCCTGTTGTGCACATTTCATGATTTCTCTAAAAGATGGACTGATTATGCAATGAATCTTTGACCACGGGGACTATTTTGCAACTTTTAAAAGTTTGAGGACTATTTACACACTTAAGAAAGACTACATGGACTATTTATGCATATAACTCCATTAACTTGTTTATTTGACTGCAGCATTTTTTGAATCATAATGGGGAGTAATGATGATTTTAAAAAGTGAGCTTCGGTGAAGAATTTGTTTTGGGTTCAAATTGTTGAAATGGAAATAGATGACACTTTTAAATATCATTTCTATTTACCTATTTTAATTTTTTTTTTACTTTTTATAAAAGTACATTTTGTACTCTTTGTCCCTTCTGTTTTTACTACGAGTATAATTATTTGTTTCACTATCTTGTCTCACCTCATTTTTTTCATATTTGTGAGATTCAAAATAATCCATAGTTAACATATTTAACACTCCCTCCATCCCCAAAAAAGGCTCCCTGACACAAAGTTTAAATAAAGTAAAAATGTATGGTTGAAAGTGATGCACAAGAAAGAGAAAGATTGTGAGCCACTTAAAGTTTTCTATGATAGGAAAGAGGAGTCTTTTTTGGGATGTCCCTAAAAGAAAATAAGGAGTCTTTTTTTGGGATGTCCCGAAAGGAAAATAAGGAGTGTTTTTTTGGGACGTCCCCCCCCCCAAAAAAAATAAGGAGCCTTTTTTTGGGACAGAGGGAGTATCATTGATCACATAGTTAGTTCCTTTTTTTCTTGACATGTTGCAACACCCTCATGTCCCAAGCACACAAATCACTACATATTTCCTCTGTTCTCTTTTAAGCATTTGTTTGACCTTTTTTATGCATATACAAATTAATGAATATAGATAAAAATTATGTCAGCATTCATTTAATGTTCAATACTTCAATGTACTAAAAATGTCAATGAGACAGGTGAAAGAGAACATGGGTATATACTTTGAATTTCTTCAAAACAGACAAGTGCAACAAAGATGCTTTCATACTTGTATTTATGGAAGCGAAAATGAAATAATAAAGAAGAATATAGACAACAAAGAATGGTAATGGCACTTAGCATGATTGTCAATAAACAAACAATACGAAACAAACACAGTATATCCACAAGCACTGCCAAGCATTACCAAACTGCATTTATCCAACGCAGAAGCTGATAACCAATCACCAAAACATAGTCTCGTGTTTTTTGTAAGATTTCTTCATCTTCTTGGTAAAGATTTCATGGAATATTACTGACGCCAATTGAATGGGAGAAAAGATCATTTAAAGTTCGTATTTATGCAACGAACAGGTCATTACCGAGTGAAAAGTAAAGTATAAAACAAGAAATAAATCAGCCGAAAGGTTAATAGGATACACGTATAGAACACACCAGAGCTACAAGTTTTGAGATGGCACCTATTTTTTCTTAAGTTCTCCTCCAAAGTGTCATTTCACACAACCTATGCAAGTATGTTCATCGCCAATGGAGATAAAAGAGTCATTTTTTACAATGTTTTATACTCGGGTAAATAGAGAAACTTCTTTTGAAAATGGCATATTAAACCTCCTTTGGAAATGGCACAAAAACCTCCTTTTGGTCGTTGCAAAAAAACTAAGCACGAAGGAACAAAGTTGAAAAGTTTAACTATATGGAAGTAATGGAACATTTCCTTACCTTAGTAATCACGGGCAAATAAAGCCAGTCCAATCACATTCAAAACTGCACCTACTCTCGCATACCTCAGTTGCAGATGGCAAGCTTTTCCAAGTCATCAGAAACACCATAGTCAATGCTAAGTTCCTGTAAGGGAGGAATGTTCTCCATTGCAAAGAGCATAAGGCGAGGAAAGCAGACGTAATTATGATCATGGAGCACTGGTTGCACAAAAACATTAGGACTGGAACTATGGCTCATGTAGCATGCTAGATTCCTCATTTTAGATACATCCATTGCAAAATCTATAGGTGGAATTGAAGGATATGATGGGCACACATAGTCGGGGTACACTTGAGAGAGATCTCCCCATTCTGCCCATCTCTCTGAAAAACGCCGAGGATATATCAAGCTATCGCCACTCATTTTGAAGATCTCTTCTTGCTCCTTTGTGAGCACAATGCCTGCATATTCACAAATAAAAGAACCGGCTTGGATCAGGTCCAGCGACCTAACTCCCCATCCAGTCTCTGTTGAACGGAACACTTCGAATCTGTTCTTCACACCTTTTTGACTCACCCTATTCCGACAAGACACTGGACAATGACAATACGGCCCACATTCGAATATCAGCGGTTTCCCCCTCAACAAGATGCCATTGTTGTCATATGCAAAGTCGCCACCGTTTCTCATTGCACACACGCAATTGCCGAAACACCCGTTGACACAATCACACCCCGTGTGGGACCCAACATGGTGGAATACATGTGGTGGGAATACAGTCTTCAACAGATAATCATAATAAATAGGGTCTTGATCTGCATCTATGTCATTGTATAAAAGAACCGGCACATTCTCTTTCTTCCCTGAGATATCAAGACTGAGATACCCTCTTGGCCTTGCAACCAATGGTTGGGCCCTAAGGGTCTCTGCGAATCTCAAAATGGTACTTCCCATTTCGGGTTGACCCTCAATCCTTACCAGTTTATACTTGAGCACTCCGAACCCGGACTTGCCCACTTCATCCCAAAAGTCAACAATTCGATATAACCCATCATAAACATAAACTTTCCCACTAGCAGTGCCCTCGTATTTGAAGCCGCGGATTACCCTTACCTCAATCCCATAATACATGCTCCTCTCCAATGCCAAGTTCCCAGCTCCAAGCTTCTGGCTAACACATTGGCGCGCGTTCTTGTCCTGCCCCCCTTGCCCAGTATAGATTATCACATCCCCTGAATCCATATCATCCTCGTATCCCCCAGAGACTATAACACTAGTGGCAATTGGCTCCCCATTTGAGCTATGTATTGCAGGAAGATAGTCAATTCCTGCTTGGACCTGACCATGTAATCCAACCACGCACAATTCCATTCGGAAGAAGAACACATCTCCAATGTACACCCCAGGGATGGAACCCACTATGCGCTTATCGCGATTCAGCCAGAGTCCCTTCTCCCTCAATACCTGTGCGGCCTTCAAGTCCCCCCTACTCTTCCTGCAAGGCCCATATATCTGGTTCTTCTCATCCTCCAATAGCGCAAGTGTACGTATTGAATCATATAACATTCTAGTCCGGCAAACAACACCACGGAAATACCTCTCATCTTCCTGGTTAAGATCCGTGATCCTTACCAGCTCAGAAGAACGCTGCTGATACTTCCTCCTTTCAATGACCGTATCCGAAAGCTGCCCGTCTTCATTAACAGCTACAATTGCTTGCGAATCTGGGTCATCCATAACCTCCACATCTCCGTACTTCCCCATCTTCTTTGCTAATGCAGTGCGAAACATCTCAGAAACTTTAGAGTACTCCGGGCATGCATCTCCCTCGCTATGTACATTTGGCCCCGTGCTATTACCATCCGGTCGGGGACGAGGGGAGAGACAGAAACCCGAATTCGAATTCGACCATGAATTGGGTGTGGGACTAGGGTTTGGGAAAGAAGCAGGGGATTGGAGTTCTGCTTGCGCGAAATCGTCGAACGGTTCGAGTTTCAGCTGGATCTTGGGAACAATCTCGCCGGAGGAGCCGGGGCAGCTGCCGGCGAGCGTAGACGGGCCAGGCTGGGGATCAAGGTCTTGATGTGGGGAAACAGAAGCCATTCACTGTTTCTTTCCTTCTCTTGGCAGAGACGACGAAATTGCAATTTCTGACAGTAAAGATTACTGAGAAACAGTTTCAACTGTCGTACATTTTTGAAGAAAGAGAGATCTTTTCTGACTGTCTGAGCGTGTGACAATGGCGAGCGGCGTTTGCGGGGAATGACGCAGCCTGCAGGTGGAACTGAAAACTTTTACACTATGGTTGGATTTTGGAAAGAAAAGAAAAGAAAATGGTTTTCTCTCATTTTCCTCACCAAAATGGAAGGAATTTGATTTTCCCTCTACTTGATACATTTTGCCTCCTCATTTTCTTTTCCCTCCACTTTTCCTTTCTTTTCTCCTTTAACCAAACAAGAAAAATGATTTTCCACTTCATTTTCTTTTCTTTTCCCTTTCAAATTCCTTGAACCAAACATAGTGTTATGGAGCGAAATATTGAGAAAAAGAAATCAAATGTGCTGGAAATCTTACTAATTAGGGATTCTTTAATTAGTTTTTGAGTAAAATTTTATAATTAGTGTTTTACTACGTATAATATGAGGATTTTCTTATTTTTCCTAAATATTACTTCCTCCGTTCCACAAAAAAATTCGTGAAATTTGCATTAAATAAGACTAAAACATAATGACTTTCCGAATGTAAGACTTAAATTTTTTTATTTCCTAAATAGGATTTAATAATGACCTTGTGGAGGGAATAATGTCCAGTAATGATGGACATTTACTTGAATAAAGACTACTTGATAATGACCAAAAGTCCTAGATTTAGAAATAAAAACATATGGTCCTATATTGGGAAAGTCATTATATTTTAGTCCTATTTAGGTAAATTACTCATTTTGAATAGTATTTAGTCAAACATTTGCACACTTTGACTACAAATTGTGAGAAAGGTATATTGAATTATAAAATAAATTTAATATAATTGGATTCATCTTAGAATCTAGTTTTGATATCTCAAATTTTTTTAGCATTTCTTTATTTACATTATTTTTAATTTATGGTCAAAGCGAGTAATTTATGGAAGTATATAAGTAGTCCTTTTTTGTACAGAGCATGTGTCTTTCTACAAATATATTTTTCCTGATCTTCTATCTTGTTGGTGTTAATTTAAGGGCTAAAAATATATAATTTTGGAAACATAATATATCTTTTTTATCATACGCAATTCCAAAGGTCATTTCTGATGCATCGTATGTTAATTACAATTGTTTTGTACTAACATCATATTCTACAAATGTGGTCTTTTGTCAGAATCCTATCCACAATCATGACCATTATTTTTTGTTATCCGTTTAACAAATCTCAAAATATGTCATTGGATATAGGGAATTAGGATTGACGTTAAATTATACTTTTAGCCTTTAAATTAAGTAACTAACACCAACACAACAAAAGAAAAAAAAGATCATTTGTGGAAAAGCATCCCTAAAAGGACTACAAGGGTAATATCTGATAATAGAGAACTAAATATAGAAACTCTCCTATTATAATGAACTAATTATAGAATTTACTTTTAGTTTTTCATAGCAGGGTTTTTCCTTATTTAATCTTTTATTATTAAATATTACGCTCATAATTTCTCTTTCATAGGCATCTTTCTACGAATAGTTTTTTTATCGTATGTCATGCATGTTGGTGTTAATTTGCGGGTTAAAAGTGTATTTATACAATGATCATATACATTTTTTATCATATACTACCTCCGTCCAGAGTATTTGTCTACTTTTATTTTTACATACCATCCAATAAACTTCTTTAATCCATTTTATCTTGTAATTTGTAAATTAAAAAATTATATATTAATAATTTATTATATATTAATAATCTATATGTTAACACAAATCAAACAAGATCATACATGACTATATTTAGGCTTACACATTGAGAGAATTTGATGAGTCAAAGTGCTTAGATGAACAGTTCCAAAAGTCAAAACTGGACGAATATTCTGGGACGGAGGGAGTACAATCCAGATGTCATTCTTGATGTGTCGTTTGTGAACCACAGTTGATATCTAATCGACATTAGTTAACGTCAGTAGATATAAGGTTGATGTCAAATTACACTTTTTACCTTCAAATTAAAACATGCATGACAAAGGGACAAAAAACCTATTTAAGGAAAGGTACCAAAAAAAGAAACACAAGCTCAATATTTGATAATAGAAGACTAAAATGAAAAATTTCATATTATAAAAGCTCATAATTTACTCTAAATAACACTATGTGATTTTTTTAATTATAAATTGTTATAATTTTTGTACGGATTACAACGGACGGGGAAGATGAACGGCCCCGGTAATAAAACTAAATAAAATTCTAAATTTATAACTTATTCAGAATATTACAAAATAAAAAGAATAGAAAATAAATTTATATATCTTCTAAAAAAGACATCGCGTTCTACTGAACAGGCAGTAAAGAATGTATACTTTACAAGGGACATGTTCAAAAGTGGAGACACTTACATGTTCTTTGCAGGTTTTCAACTCTGGGATGTTGTCGATCCCCAAATCAATTTTTCATTCATGTGGGGGATTGTTGGAATTTTTAGCATTTTTAAAAGGTATTAAATGGACCAACTTGGCTATAGTTATCAATAGGTCCACTAACGGTTTTAACCATTAATTAATGGACGTGTGTTCTCTTAAATGAGATAAATGTTTTGATAATTTATATGCCAAAAAAATGGTAGAGGGTGAATGAGAAATTGATTCTCAGACTTAACCCGTTAATAAAAGAATATGGTAAGGACTGCAATTTTTTCAATTTTACTTAACCAATCTTCTTTTATTAATTTTACGTATTGTTTAAAATTAGTCCTTTCTTACGGAGTTAACTGGCCATTAATCTCCAATTATTCGGGACAAATTTTAAACGGAGCGTAGCGTAACGGACGTGTTTATTGCTAATTAATCACCATTAACACGATATTAAGTGTGCCACAAATGCCATGGATTTATGGTGTAGGAGTTACATTTTTAATTGGCTTGGTTATAAAACCAAAGGCTCTCTCCATTCTCTTGAGTGGTAGTTGTTTCATACGTGAGGAAGGAAAAAGAAAGGAAAAGTATTTCTTTGTTTTTTCAAAGAGCTCTTGATTTTCCGGCCAACTTTCTGGCAATTCCCTTCAAAGTTTTTTTGATCGCCAACGTTCCTACGTTATTCTTGTTCGTTGGTGTGTGGTTGGTCCGTACAATCTCCACACACGATAGAGGTTTTATCCTAGGAGGAGAGTGCCCACGTTTTTCCGGTACGGTAGCCGGGCACTACTACCTTAAGGACAGCTCCGGCGACTCCGCTGTCCTTCCACGGTGTTTTGTTTTTGCAGGTACAGCTCATAAATACCTTGTTGCATTCTGCCCTAGGACATAATGTCTTTGCATACCTTGCAGCCCAGTGCATGACGTCCTTGCTGTCCAGTGCATAATGACCTCGCTGTCTAGTGCATAATGTCCTCGTTGTCCAGTGTTTAATGTCCTCATACAACAAGGCTTTTTGAGAAGATATAGAAATTTATTTTCTATTCTTTTTATTTTGTAATATATTCTGAATCCTTTATATATAATATTTGAGAGTTCAACTCTCAGAATTATGACATTTGGCATGATGATTGGAATATTTTTGACACCTAACCAACCATATCATCAAACGGACGGGTATCAGCGGATCTAGATGACCCGGTCCAATGGATAACTGGATATGCGCTCACCCACACAATCAGCGGATCTGGAAATATCATCATCTACGCTGCTATGGGGATCTGGAGATATCATCGTTCAAAATTTTAGGGAAATTTATAGCTGCATCTCGAGACTTCATCACTCACTGAATCCTCTCAGAAATTTCAGAGAAATTTTACGATATGGAGAAGATCGAAAATACGGTAAGTTTCCAAAGTTCATATGCAATTTTGATTCAAATTTGGCATATTGATTTCTCCAGTTTTAGAGATTCTTTTATTCCATCTTGGCATGTCAATTTCCTCAATTTTTATTCAATTTCTATGGATTCTCTATTACCCCCAGTTTTTTTGGTAATTGTAGAAGAGAGAATATGTAATCACAAAAGACTCTACATCATGATTATTGTGTCCTGCTATTATTTTATTGGGTCTTGATTATTGTGTATTGTTCTTTAGACACATGGTGTACTTAAACAATTTTTTTTAAGTTTGTGTTTTCATTCTTGGAATGTTTATGCAGTCCTTTTATATTCTAAAAACATATCCTTTCCAATTTGAATTAAATATAGCCCTGCTCATGGATGATAACTGAATCTCAGCAGACAATGAAGGACATCAACCCAACACAAAGGCAATGGAAAGGATTCAGTGAGGGGGTAAAACCTCATTCTTCTTATTGATTTTCAACATCTAATTATTATTATAATTTACTCCAGATGCCCAGAAGATTTGTTATATGTATAACTTCTTGCAAATTTTTTATTCCCATTGTTATTGTTTGGTATAAAAAATGTGTTTTTCTTCTCTATTTATGCATTTATGACGAAACTATTTGAGCTTTAAACTAAATTAAAATAATTTGATTATGTAAAGTTAAAACTCATATAATCAATATACTGAGATAATTGATTAATGAAGTTCATATGCAAAATAATTGAGCAATTTGTACTTAGCCTTCCTTGAAATTTACTTTGATTAGAAATCACCTTTCTTTGGTTTCAGTTAAAAAAGTGGGATGTGTAGTGTCTGATCTCATAATGTTCAAAACCCAATGTTATACAAAATGAGATGTAATATGGAGCTTATTAGATTGCAGGTAATGTTTGCTTTTGATATTTGCTTTTGTGTTCATTATCTAAATTTTTGATAACACAACAAGTGATATATGGACATAGACATTATAGTAAAATCAAATTGTAGAAAAATTAAACTCACTACCATGGGTGCAAGGAGGGGATCACACCTTAAATATCTTTTTCATCTAGATTTCATTTTCAAGAAATTAGTTTGTATGTATAATGTGTAGGTGTTTAAAAGTGAGCCAGTGTAACAACTCTCATAAAATCTAAGTTTAAGTAATTTGTGTGTTTTTCCTTCTCTGAATTTTTTATAGTATGAACTTTTAGAGGATTTAAAAAAAATAGAAGCACAAAAAATTGAAATTGGTTAAGATAGTACGTTTTCTTAATACAATTATGCATTTGGGTTCCAAAATAACTTCAAATTTACTTAATAATATTGACAATTATTACCAAACTTATCTACATTTGTTCTACGTGTAAACATTAGGGTGTTTAATTAACATGTAGATAATAACACCATATGTTTGATTCATGTTATATATGAGTTTATATGTTTGACAGTTTGAGTCATATTATATATGATATTATGAATGTTTTCATATTCATGCCTATTCTTATTTGAATTCAGGATGGCTAATAAAGTACGGAGTATTATTTTGTTCAATTTTGGGATGGAATCAATATGAATAGGTACTTTTTCTGTGTGGATAATCAAAACGGAAATGAAAAGTTTGGTGTGCAGGTAAATGATGGAATTGGTGATGTTGAGATTTTGCCCAAATACTTGATTCTTAACTCGAGCTCTCCATTTAAGAGTATATAGTGGAATTCACATATCTAGAGTTATTGAAAAGTATGAAAAAATCTACTTTCTTTATAATAGAGCACTATGAATTAATCTCAAGATCAATTTTGATTGTGTGATTTCATCATGCTTGATCAGTATTCAGTTTCGCCATTAATTCAAAGCTTAACTTTTTTTCTAGAATCTAATACTACTTTTATGCTTGAAATAATTTTTCTACATTCATTTACAGTTTTGTGGCTTAATCTTGCAGAATTTATTTGCTGACTTTATGGAATCTGAGGATGATGCAAAACCTTTACCACCAACTAAGGCGACCTCCTAGCTAATGCGACCTCTGCGTAGGGTAGATGAAAGGCTTGCTATCACAACCTGGATATGATTAAACCAATTTCGCTTCAACTAAAATAATCCCAAACAATGAGCTTCATATGGGAGATCGTGATTGGAGTATATTGATTTTATAGATGAATTTAATTACAACATAGTTTGTACTTTCTATTTATTGCATGAACTATGGTTTTATTTACTAATACATTGTCTGCGTGTAATATGAAGAATATGGTCTACGAAATTTTGGTTTTTTAGTGTCGTGTGTTTAAGTCAAGGGGATGCCTTATGGGGAGTTCGTAGTTTAAGATATGGTAGGTTCACTAAGCAACTCATTTGAAAAATGAAGCAATTGATGTTGCACATAAGTTTTACATCATCTTTTCTAAGTGAAAGAACTCTCAGATCTAATAAGATCAGGTCAGATACAATGAGATTAGATCAGATCTAATCAGATCTAATTAGATCAGACCAGACCAAATTAGATCCAATAAGATCTGATCACACTATATCAGATCCAATCAGATCAGACCAGATCTGATCATAACTACAAAAATCAAATCAGATCCGAAAAAATAAGTTGAACGGAACAGAACTTTAGCCTTTCATTATATGTAGAATGTAAAATATAATACTCCGTAGGATGTAAACCCCCACCCCGAAGCAAGTGGCTGTTATATGTAGAATGTAAAATCTGAATGCACTTCATAGAAAATAACATGGACTCTTTATTATGCTTATCACTATGATTTTTTTAATATAATTTTTAATTTTTAAAAAATTCCTGATTTTTTTTAAAGGAGAGTAAGAAATAGATATGAGATGATTCTGCAAAAAATGGTACCATGTGTTTCTACCAATTCCTTAATTCCCAATTCTAAAAAAATGGAGGACTTAGATCTAATGAGATATTAAAACATTATTTAGATCTGTAACTTACACTTAATATTTAGCACCAATAGTTGCAGATCTTGACTTTGTCTCCTCCAGACCAAAAACAAATCTTTCGATTGAAGATTTTAGAAACTGGTAGAAAGAAAACAGAAACTTAGCAAATTTTAGTTTTTGAACATGGACTTCTCCGATCAGATTTGCATTGAGGGATTAGGCGTTAATTAGAAGTTATTTAAGTGTAAATGATGACATGGATCGTGATTTTAGAGATGAAGGAGGAAGATGAATCGATTGGAGCCGAATAAGATAGAGAGAGGTGTCGGCGACTATTTAAGAAAGTGGAACGCCTTTCTGGAAATAAGGACTGAGACTTTATTTCCTTTTTTTTAATTGAATTAGGTCACTAGGCTTATGTTTTTTTTTAAATGAATTGGGCCATTTGGCCAAGTTTTGAAAAACAAAACATTTCATACAGTCTATTGACTAAACATTGGGGCAATTATATTTTTTCGAAATTAATTTATATTCCATTCAAATTTTTTGTAAATAGTATTTACTCCAAAAGAAAAATGTCTATATATATATATATATGTATGTATGTATGTATGTATATCACGGACTGTCACGATTTGCGCTTACCCCACACAATTTGAAAAGACCAAAGGCTAGGTACAAATAATAACAAACTCTTTTAATTGATCGGAAGGGATATATATCTGCAATATTTATTAAGCACACACCCAAGGAAATAAACCACAACAATGAAAAGATGGAATTCTCAAATGGGCATGCTGCGGAGAACTACAGTTTCAATAGTAAGACCAGGCCCAAATGATAAAAGGACTCCGAACTCAAGCCCATCACCAGTAGTCTTAAGCCCATCTCTAATGGACCTCTTTCTGACCTCATCCAAAATGAACATCACACAAGCACTGGACAAGTTCCCGTAGTCACGCAGAATGTTCCGCGTGGCCCGTAGCTTATCGGGCTCGAGGCCCAATTTGCTCTCCACTTGATCCACAATTGCACTCCCACCAGGATGAAGAGCCCAAAAGAGTGAGTTCCAATCTGATATTCCAAGCCCATCAAAGGCCCGAATCAAACAACTCTCGGCGTTTTTAGCTATTGTGGACGGCACAAATTTGGTCCCATGGAAAGAAAGGCCCGACTCACGAAGGTGCAATGCAAGGTGATAGTCCCCATTAGGCACAAAAGTTTGGGCCGCAGAGAAGATCTCAAATATGGGCTTTTCATTATTTGGCTTGGGGTCCGAGCCGATTATCAATGCGGCTGCCCCATCGCCAAATAACGATTGGGCCACGAGGTTATCGATGTGATCTGGGCTTGGCCCACGAAACCCAATCGCCGAGCTCTCAGTGCAAACTGCAAGGAGAATAAATATATTTTAACACCAGTTTGACTCATGTGCTTTACAGATTGTTGTCTATATATTATTTAAATATATATAGTGTCAAACTTTGGTGTGACTGTAACATGATACCTGCGAGAATACGCGAGTCTTTATTGTTCTCGGCGATGTCCTTGGCGAGGCGAAGCACGGTGCCGCCTGCGAAACAACCTTGTTGGTACATCATGAACCGTTGAGTTGTTGGGCTGAGGCCCAAGAGCTTGATGAGTTGGTAGTCTGCGCCGGGCATGTCCAGCCCACTTCTAGTACAGAAGATTAGATGGGTGATCTTAGTTCTCGACTCACCCCACTCTATTATAGCATTCAAGGCGGCTTCTTTTCCCAGTTTTGGAATCTCAGAGATCAAGATGTCTTGTCTAGTGTTTAAAGAAGGTTCACTAAATGTACATAAATTTGGATTCTCCTTTAAGATTTCTTCGGTTAATAACATATGTCTTTTCTTAATCATAGTTCTCCCACCTGAATGAATGTTTCCACCAATATAAAATATGGACATACCTTATAAGAATGAAATACTTATATAAATGTCATACTCGTTCGTGATGTAATAATTTTTCCAGTTTCTTTAACACTATGTTTGGTTCAAGAAATTTGGAAGGAAAATAAAAGAAAATGATTTTCTCTTATTTTCCTTACCAAAATGAGATGAATTTTGGTTTTCCCTAAACTTAATATGTCTTCTCATTTCCTTTTCCTTCCACTTTTCCTCTACAACCAAACAAGAAAAATTGCTTTCAAATTCATTTTTTTTCTGTTTCCTTTCAAAATCTTGAACCAAACATACTGTAAAAGTGAAACCGGCATCGACGTTTTTTGTGTTGATAATGCTTTTTGCAAAAATAATAAAATAAAATAAAAATAATACTTCTTCCGTCCTAAAACTTTCTTCTCTGCTCGGTTTTACGAGATTGGATTAAAATTATTTTCAATTTAATTAATTTATTTGATTATAGGTATAAATAAAAAGTATATATATAGTTAAAAACTACATCAAAAGTTCTACAAAACAAAAGATGACACGATTATATTATTTTATCAAATAAATAATAAAAATAACTAAAGAAAGTGATTAAAGTTTAATCATGTGAATAGTGGCTAAAATTTTTTTGAGACATATTTATTTGATTATATATATAAATTAAAAATAAAAATTATATATTTAAAAGCTACATTAAAATTTCTCCAAAATAAAAGATGACATGATTATATTATTTTATCTGATAAATAATAAAAACAGGTAAAGAAATCATGAGAATAATGACTAAAAAGATAATTTTAAGACGGAGAGATTAATAAAGAGAGAGGGGGGAAAAGGACTCACAAATGCGCCTAAATTTATCCTTGAGATCCTCCAAGTGATCACAATTTGTGACCCGAAAATAGAAGTCCGGGTACTCACTCTGATCAACCCAATGAGAGGGTGTGGCTGTCCCAATGGCCAATATATTTGCAGGACCATCTGCCCTTTGAACCCTCCATGTCCCTCCACCATTTTTCTCAATCTTCATTTATTAAAAAAAAAAAATTGTTCTTTTGAATCTCTCTAGTCTGGGTTTTCACCAATTCAAAAATCTGCAAATTAATTAGTTAATTAATTCTAGGCTGAATTATATTGAATCTTCAACAATCTTTGCAGGCATTTATATATGCATATAGACACACACACACACACAGCAGAGGGTTATTGCTCGCTGTTTTGCTCCATGCTGCTTGCATTTATATACTCTGTTTAGCCCCATATTGGCCAAGCAAGGACTTCCCTTGATTTGTCTTCGAGATGATAAAAAGATTTTTTTTTGGGATCAATTTTAAAATGTTATCTTATGAATTCAATATGAACTTCAATCATATCGGCCCACATGGCCACTTCCCTTCTAAAATAATGGTTCTTTCTTTATGTAATTTTTTTTCACATCTGCGTAAATTGGAAACGCGTTATTTCTTACTTCCTCTGTTTTTGAAAAAGAGTTCTACTTTTGACCAAGTGGTAAAATAAAGAAGTGTTAAATTATATTGCCTCCATCCACAAATGAACTTCTTGTTCATTATTCACATGGTCAAACTTTATTCAATTTGTTGATCTATTTTCGTCACCTACTTCATAAAATAATATAGTTTTGTCACCTCAAGTTTTGTAGATCTTTTCATATAGTTTTTTAATATGTAATTTTTATTTTTAAATTTTACCCCATTTTTCATAGAAAATGATTTGAAAATAACTTCAGTCAAACATCGTTACGCGCAATGGTAAGTTTATTTGTGGACGGAGGGAGTAGTTGACTTCCAATTTCGCCCTCGATGTGATGAGTAAAAATAAAATGTGATAGATAGATTACTAGAGAAAAAGTATGATGTGATAGCTAGGATACGAAAAAGTAAAGATAAAAAGGTTTTTTTAATAAAAAATGAAAGTATTTTATTAGAATTGAGAAAAAATGAAAGAGGAAATATTTTTAAGAAGGGAGAGAGTGTGTTTTTCAAACTTTGTAAAAAAGCAAAACAAAAATCTTATTTTGAATAAACCCTATGCAAAAAAAAAAAAGAAACAGAAAATGCAATGCTTTTTTTAGAAGGAAAACCAATTCTTACTTTATTTTGAATAAATAAAAAAGGAAAAGTAAAATATATTTTTTGTGCGGCAACTAAGTGGGTTTTCTGTACTTATAAGTTGGTTAAAATTATTTACAAACTACTTTAATTTATAAGTCAGTTGGTGACATGTTTCTCTGTGGTTATAGGTAGACTTATAAATTATTTATAAGTCAAAAAAATAAATAAGCTTCACCTACTTATTTTTAAGTTAGTTTTTTTCTCTATTTTGACCAGATTATTTACAAAATTGTTCATCTTCATTTATGAATATTTCCAAATAATTTATCTATCATTTAGGGTCCGTTTGGTACACGGATTGACGGAATTGGAATTGAATTGGAAACTGAAATTCTATAGATATGATTTGGATGGAATTTTACTCTCCAATTTCAATTTATTTTTGGCACTACCAATGCCGAATCTATATGTTTTTGTGCTACCAAACAACAGAATTAAAATTATTATCTCCAATTTCAATTTCATAGTTTGAATTTCATGTACCAAACGTGGCGTTAAGTCATTTTACTTCCATGAAAGGCTATTTAAGGGATGGTTTATTAGCTGTCCGTAGATGTATAAGCCTATAAGGTTTAATGGTTTATTATACATTCGTCCTATGTTCATTTAATTTTAATACTCCCATTTTAAATTGTCTGTTTGCCTTTTTTCTTCATCCCAAAATAAGTTGTCTTTTAGTTATTTTCGTAAACTTTTAAAAATAAAAATACCTAAACTACCCCTAAAATAAGTCACACTTCTTCACCTTATCGTCTTATTCATCATCACCCCTCCTAAAAAGTAATGTCAATTTCGAAAAATTAACTCTATTTTTTATTTTTCTTAAATATGCACAAAAGTGAAAATAGGTGATTTAAATTGGAACAGAGGGAGTATATATGGAGTACAAAATTAGTAATTGCATCCATCCTATGTTCATTTAATACATATGGAGTACAAAATTTAGTATTAATGTCATTTCATGTACTTATTTTTTTGCATATACCTAACTAGATGTACATTGTGAAATTAATACATATGTAGTGCAAAATTAGTAATTGCATACATCTAAACTTCCCCTCTGCTTTGTAGTCCACTCTCCAGAATTCATGGAAAGTTTACTCAGATTCAAGTCCCAGCAAAGGCATTGGTTCTTTGTGCGTCATCAGATTATGAATAGTATGTACAGATATTACATTCTAATAAAGTCAATAGCATTCAAAAGAATTACACACATCTCATTTCTCTGCAAACAAAATTTTTCATTGGGTTGCTAATAACATCACCAATGAATGAAAGAATAGAAATAAACTCTTGAAAATGAATATACTACTTCCATCTCAAAGTTTTTGTTCAATTTTGAATTTTTGCATTCAAAATTGATAAATTTTAACTGCTAATTAAATAAAATTAATATTAGATATTGATATAAAATAATTTTATTTGATTTATCTTGTAAAATATTTTTTCCCAAAAAATCTATATCTAATACGTAAACACTATGCACCATAAATAAGATTATTATTAGTATTCTTATTGTCTAACAATGAGTACTAAATAAATCTCTAACTGCCATATTGATCAAAGACTAATATGTAAACACTACAATAAATAATAATAATAATATTATTATTATTATTATTATCACTATTATTAGTTTTATTATTATTATTATCATTATTATTATTATTATTAGAATTGTCTAAGACTAAATTACACTTTTGATCCTTTAAGTATAGCCTTTAGAAATAATAGTTGTCTTCTTTGGGTGTGATGGAATAAACAAAATCGATCTCTACATTATCTGCGTTTCTTTAATTAATGAAGTAACAATTACTCAATTAATGCAATTTTTGACGCTGAGTCGGTCATCAGGCGGATGACTCTTTGAATACAGCCTTTTTATTTTCAAGTACGGATAAGATCTGGGTACACTCTCTCTCCAAACCCTAATCTTTTTTATGATTCAATGGGTTGTTGGTGGTGGTGGTGTTTCAGAGATTTGAATTTCAACATCCATTTATGCCATAAGAAATGTATGGATTCTATCTTGTTTTCGAAACAACATGGGCTTCAACCTATTTCAAATTCATATTTACTCTTGGGCATGCAAACCCGTCCCACATCGGTGAGAAAGAACAAAGTAAAGAGAATCAAAATAAAAAGGTTTACATTAATTACGGAGGCCCGATGGTAGCGTATTAAATTTTATCTCAAAGAAACATTCAAATAATTAATTATCAATTCGAAAAAATGATGAACTTTATCTCAAAGGAACAACAACAACAACAACCCAGTTAAATCCCACAAGAGTAGGGTCTGGGGAGGGTGTGTGTACGTAGACCTTGCCCCTACTCAAAAGTAGAGAGGCTGTTTCCAAAGAGACCCCCGGCTCAACGTCGAAAGCTGCATTGCTTGACTAACTGCTACTTCATTAATTAAAGAAGCGCAAATAGTTTAGATATCCATTTTGATTTATTCCATCACACCCCAAAGCCAAAAACAAGTGAGATTTTGGCTCCATCGGAGATGATGGAAAAAAAATACAACATGCCAAGAAGCGGCAAAAAAAGATATTGAATGACTCTCTATTGTTTTAAAGCAACGATGGCACATTGTGCAAATTCGGGAGGTGCATTCAAACCTAAAACTCCTAAAAGGTTGATATACATTATATATGTTGTATCTTATTGTACAACATTACAAAGACGAATGTCGTGCAATATGTGAGTACAATCTGAATGACGCTAATGAGAATGCCAAGACGGTTGATACGACGCAACAAGAGTCAAATAGATGGGCATTAGAGAACCCAGATACACATTTCCATCTCTTCCAGACTTGATAGACCATAGTGTGTATTCCGATCATGCAATTCAAGACAATGAGTAGTTTTTTTAGCCTAATTTTTAATGCACTTTCTTTAAATTCATTATTTATGTTTTTAATTTTCTTAATCATGTATCTTTTTTCTTACTTTAATTGTAGTCTTTTATTTATTGGTAATAAATTTTTTTATCTAATTTAAATTGTACTGTTTTATTTACTAGTAATAAAAAAAATTAAATCTAATCTATTAGTTTTTTTTTTGAAGTCAAGAGAATCAAAAATATTTTATTAAATTAAAAAGTTGTGTTTGTATGATTCTAAGGTCCACGTGTAAAATGTGACTTTCTCACATTTTTATAACCGGCATGGTATTTATATACTGAAGTCTTTGAAATGAGTGTGGATCTTAGGATCAAGAAAGAATTTGCCTAAATTAAATTATCAAATGACAAATATAGTATTTTAAAAAAATAAATATGAAATAAGAAAACTGATGTGTCGCTGAATTAGAAGATAAGGATAGTGAGGATGGCATCACCCACATTCTTTAGCGTAAGAGGTACGGTACTGTGTGGAAGTAGGAGAGGAGGACGAGAGGCATCAGGCGACACGTGTCCACACACCTGTTTCATCCTCAAAGCAACCAAGCATGACACGTGTACTCCAGCTTAGTCAGCAGCATGCATGGCCTTTTTCCCACTCTCTTTTATATCTAACCCCCCCTCACAATTACATTCATTTAAAATTCCCACCCAAAAAAAGAAAAAAAGAAAAAAGCAAATCAAACATTCTGTGAAGAAATTAAGCTAACAGTGTTGAACTAGAATGGCGAGGACGGTGGCGAGAAACGTGGCGGGTCCTTTGTTGTTTCTGAACTTGATAATGTACTTGATTGTGTTAGGGTTTGCTAGCTGGTGCCTAAACAGGCTCATCAATGGCCAAACACATCATCCCAGTAAGTACTCTTGCTAGCTTTCTGAATTAGTACTAAGTTTGGTTGTTAATTAGTTGGGTCGGTCTGGGATCCGCCCGAACGAGGCATCGGGTAATCGTTTAACGTTGATTGGTTCAGGTTTTGGCGGGAACGGAGCGACCATGTTCTTCCTAGTGTTTGCGCTGCTGGCAGCTGTGTTGGGGATCATATCGAAACTGCTAGGGGGAAACCACCTGAGGGCGTGGAGGAACGACAGCCTCGCCGCTGCTGGATCTTCCGCGATTGTCGCGTGGGCCGTAACCGCCTTAGCTTTTGGGTATGTATTAAATCCGAGTTCCAAACTGTCCGAATTAGACCCGGACCGGACCGCGATTGTCGCGTGGGCCGTAACCGCCTTAGCTTTTCTGACAGCTGTTTTTTCCTCTGAATGAATGAATGTAAGGTTGGCATGCAAGCAGATCAACATAGGAGGATGGAGAGGGTGGAGGCTGAGAGTTCTGGAGGCCTTTATAATCATCCTCACATTCACCCAACTCCTCTACGTGCTCATGATTCACGCCGGATGTTTCAGCAGCAGCTACGGGCCCGGGTACCGCGACACCGATCACTACGGTGCCGGGCTGGGCGAGAAGGGTCCCACCGGGACAAGGGTTTGATTCCATCCATCATTACCAACAACCCCCTTGAAATCATCATCAGACAGACAGATGTAGTGAAACCACATATATAACATCTTAGTGGTTACTCTCTCTCTCTCTCTCTCTCTCTCTCTCTCTTGTAATATATAGTCTATCTGTGACTCTTGTTCATGTATGCAGTATGCTTATGTATCTACTTTAAAGTTCATCCCCAGTTAATCTACATGTTTGGTTTCATGATTTGGTTTGGTTTCATTTGTTGGTTTGTTTGTGTTAAGTTGTCATTATATAGTGTTTTTACTACGTTTCTCCACACCATGTATATTCTCAAGTTTTGTACTCTCACTAACACTAAATAAATGCTAATCTTGACATGAAAATGTTTTATCTACCAAGTTTCAACAGTCTTTTTTAAGAACAACAACACTTTCACTTGACATTCAAAAGAATTTTAGTACAAACTTGAAAGAATAAGACGAAGCACAACTGGGAGGAACCTCTCAGTTTCAATTTACTTTACTACATGAATATCAGGAACACACTAGCTTTGTCAATTCGGAAAAAAGGAAGAAATCAATGGATTTCTTCCTTTTTTTCTAAAGAGTATATAAATTCTTAAAGAATATGTATCTCAATTTTATGGTTACCTTGAAAACAACTCAGCCATACCAAGGTGACAGGCAGAGGCGGGATTCTGGAGGCAGCCGCATAGGCTCTCGTCGTCCTTGGGGAATGATGCAGGTAAAGGATGGTCTGGGAGCACACCAACCTATACGCCGACACAAAAATCTGTGAATTATTTCTTTTCGTGTTCTAAAACAAAAATGTAACGAGAGGGAGAGAGAGAGAGAGACCTTGTTGATGTCGTTATGGGCGGGTGTTTCATAACGTGCAACCGTGACAGCCAAACCAGAGCCATCAGATAGTTTAAAGACAGACTGTATCTTGCTGTACACATAAACAAACTTAACTTGTGAGCAGCTTTTGTTTCATTAGTAATGGAGGGCATGGAGTCAGATTCACAAGATTAATATTAAAGTCGATACCCCTTGCCGAAAGTCGGTTCCCCTAGCAGAACTGCCCGTTTATTGTCCTTCAATGCCCCAGCCAAAATCTCACTTGCACTTGCAGTTCCTTTGTTCACCTAGAAAGAATTTCTACAAAATCATACCTGTTTATATAACTTAAATGTTGGATTGGAAGGTGAAGCCTTCAAAGTATGAACTATAAAGACTTGAGATTTCAACCCAATAAGAGAAGAATATCCAAAGCCAGCTAGATGTGAGATCACTTAACAAAAATCGTCATAGACGAAGAAGCATTTTTAGGAGAGTATTTCCTTCTCATTTTCCGAAAAAATTGAAGGCATGTTTATTTTTGTGCTTCTTCGAAGAAAAATGTTGACATACCAGCACGGCAAGGGGTTCTGAAGCTGCTATTGCATTGCTTCCATCCGTGTCGTAAATATCTCGAACACCACGGCTATCACAAATATAGACAATCACACCCTTGTCCAACCTGTTATAACAAAAAAAATTGGGGTTTGGTTTGGCATCAAGGCAACATGAAAACAATGGTAAGACGACACCTTAATCGGGATTCGGGACTAGTGGGCAATTATTACAATGGATCTAATCACAACGGATATATCTTAAAGAGTACAAATTAAGTACTCTGTAAGGCTTATATACTTGTATTAACAAATGAAATAAATTGTGCATAAAGAACAATTGGAGAACTGTATTTCTTGCTATGAAACTGCCTTGGAAGATGCATATCCATCAGAATAGGGCTTGTAACGTAAAGTTGATAACAAATCCAATCCCACACCAGATTGAGAAGAAAAATTGGACCAATGTATAATATTGCTCACTCAACTCGATTACTATGAAGCCTTTTAGGAGATGCCCAAAAACAAATCTGTGAGGTCTTGGCCCAAAGCAGACAATATCATACTAATGCGGAGTTAGAATGATGGCAGACAATCCTAACTTGCAAAGCATTGTCAAAACTTATAGAAGAAACAGATACACAACAAAGGAAAGAGGATAAACAGATACATTACAAAGGAACTCAGAAGGTAAAATATAACAGTTCATGAGTTCAAACATTAAAACAATTCCAAATGGCTTACCAGATCTTGGCGATCTCAACTCCTTCAGGGAATAACCCGCCACTGCATCACATTTAGTTTTTCAGATTCCAGAAAAAAGTTTTTTATTAAAAATAAATAAATATATAAATCGACAAATATATATATATATATATATATATACACACACACATACATACATATATATATATATATATATGGGATTGACTCCAGTGAGATGACACCTTAAGGTGAGATGACAAGTTACGGTCAAATGACGCAAAGCTCACCAAGAGCCACTACAAAGCTCACCAAAGAGACCTGCAAAGCTCAGCAGAGTATAAAGCAAAGCTCACCGTGTTTTTTCAATACTTTAATTTTTTTTGAAAAAAAAAAAATCAGAGGGGGTGCTGACTAGATTTTGACCTTTGACCGGTACCTTTGACCACCGCCTACCGCCTGCCGCCTCCAGTTGCCGGTCGCCGCCGCCGCCGGTCGCCGCCCCCACCGGCCGCCGCCGGTCGCCGCCGCTGCACCACCTCTGACCGGTGGTTGACTGGTGGATTTATTTTATTTTTTTATTAATTTTTTATTTTTCAAAATTTAAAAAAATGGTGAACTTTGGTGTTCAAAGTGGTGAGCGCTTAATTTCCAGGTGAGCTTTGCATTGTTTGTTGGTGAGCTTTGTAGTGTTGTGTGGTGAGCTAGGCGTCATCTCACTGAAGCATGTCATCTCACCGTAAGGTGTCATCTCACTGGAGTCAATCCCTATATATATATATATATATATATATATATATATATACACACTCCCTCCGTCCAAGATTAAAGTTCTCACTTTGACTTGGCACGGAGTTTAATAAAACATGAAATTTACGTTGACTTTCCAAAAATACCCCTCCATCCCTTATCCCTTCCCTTCTCTTCTTGGCCACCCATTGTTCTCTGTATGCAATCGGATGCCATCCTCCCTGCTTCGCCATTATCATTGACAGCCACCTTGATGTCTACCACGTAACTCCGACTGCCGCCACTGCCACCGCCTTCAATTTCAAAAAAAAAAAAAGACGAAGAAGAAAGAAATCTGGGGCTCCTTTCCTCAGGTCCAAAACACCATCATCAATCGGTACCTAATCTCCGCCACCACCGTCGATTTCTTTGGCGGCGCTATCTGAATCGAAATTCAGATCTGACGGAGATGGACAAGAAAGAAGAAAAGGAGAAGAGTTGAAGATGGATTGGGCATTGGACCATGGAATTGAAGAAGAAGAGGAGGAGGAGATCGGACCGCCCTATCACCTCCGACCACCACCACCGCCTCGCTGCCCGACCTTTACCCGATTGCTGCTTCATTGCTATCACTTTACAGGAAAAAATCAGAAGTGGAAAAGAGAAGAAAGAACAAAAAGAAGAAGAAAGAAGAAGAAGATAAGAAAAGAGAGAAGAAGAGAGAAAAGAGAGAGAAAAAAAGATGGGGTGGGAAATGAAATGGATGGGGAAATGGGGAAAGGGAAAAGAAAAAGAAAAGATAGGGATTGGGTGGGGAGGGTAATTTAGACTTTTAGGTATGAAAAACTTTCCAAAAATAGAAATGGGAAGATTATTTTTGGACGGATGAAAAAGGAAAGTGAGAACTTTATTTATGGACGGAGGGAGTATATATATAAAGCATGTCACCTATTATCTCGAAGGTCTAGGACAAAAGCCTTCACGTTGTTTTTCCGTAATGTTTCAATTGCTTCCCGCATAGCACCTATAAGATTTGAGATAAGTTGAGCTTAATCAGGGTAAAAGAAAATTGTTTTCCAAAATGTTGGCTTAAAGTTCACTAAATGCATAGCCTGATGGAGGAAATGAGCTGTAGTCTTTAAGACAAATCGGAGAGGTTCTGAAATGTATGCAGAATAGCATATACAATCATTGAAAAAGAATGAAAAAGAATGTAGTCTGTGTAGGAATTTACTCTAATATGTACGTGAAAAGCGAGATGACTACCTGATGCATTTTGGTTGAATGTGCTTAGTTTGATATATCCAATCTGCAAAGCATTCTCTCTAGAACTAGATACCTTGCAGACGCTTGATTTCACAGGGTTCAGTGTAACTTTCTCTCGGCTGAATGCAGACAATGTATCTCATAAGTATGATATTGTAATAACTAACAAAGCCTCCCCTATGCATTGGTATGCTATAAATAAATTCTGGTAATACATATTTGCAAACAAAAATTGATGTAGCTCAGTGAACGGATCGTCAATCTAATTTTTTTTAACAAGTCAATCTAAGTATTTAAGTACTCCCTATATGACAAATCTTATTCATAATTAACAAGCATCGATTGTAAGGCGTCACCTAGGCAATAAGGCGTTGTCCCTTGGACGCCTAGTCTACTCGCCTCGCCCAGAAAACCTTAAGGCGTTCAGGCACTCCACTAGGCGTCGCCTTGGGCCCCTTTAGAATTTTGAAAAGCCCAATTTTATTTAGTGCAGCCCAATTATTTTGAAAGCCTAATTTAAAATGTTTAAAAAGATTCGACTTAAACTTGTGGCCTACGAGATATGTGTGTGTGTGTGTGTGAGTGTGTGTGGGTGTGGGTGTGGGTGTGTACATATACATACATACATACATACATACGTACATACATACATACATACATACATACATACATACATACTTACATACATATATATAGGACAATATTCAGCCTGGCTTCCCTATCACTAAAATTTAAAGTTAAATAAAATTGTGTGTGTGTGTGTGTGTGTGTGTGTGTGTGTGTATAGGACGCCTGGGCGTGCACCCAATCACCTAGGCGATATGAAGGTACATTGGCGCCTCGCCTCGCCTTGGCGCCTTACAAACTTTGTTAACAAGTATATGAAGCTTGCAGAGAATTATATAGGAGTTAACCAAGATGAACCTACATTAAAGATAGGTTTCTGGTTTCAGAACCATGTTGTACCGTTAGTTCAACCTCACTTCCTTCAGGTCCCCTACAAAGATGGAACATATGATTCTCAAATATGCATGAATAGGATTGTTAATTAGCTTGCTGGCAATTCCTCTAATAGTTTAATACTACCATAAAAGGTAAAATAAATAATAAAAAATAAAGCATAATAGGGAGACATAATTTGCCTTCTACCGGACAAACTTATTTCAAGCTTCTACTCAATATTGAAGTGAAAATTGCATTAAACTTCATAACATTTATATCTAAGATATGTTTAATTCAAAGAGCACAACATAGCTTTCTGGAATTGTTATGCAATTTACTACTTTTGTTTATTCATTTGATGCATGATTTAGTTATAGAAGTTTCGTATTTGTGGATTTTATATTCAACAACGGTGTATTTCATCTCATTTGTTGTATGGGCCTCAGTGTCCGACGTTAATAAGGCTTGTGAGCGGAAGCTGGAAGTTTCGGAATGAAAATGTGGTAGACGTGTGGCCGTACTATGTTGGATAGAATACGGAACGAGTTCCTTCAGTAAGAATAATGGGTCGTGCATATTATGATTGAGAGAAGGCAGAATGAAATGGTTTGGTCAAGCTGGCCGTAGAGGTGCAGCGACACCAGTGATGACCTCTCTGATCAGTTGGACTAGACAGAAGATAGGCAGACCGTGTAAGATGGGGGTGAATCGGGTGATCAGTTGCTTTTGGTGGTCTTGAACCTCTTTGAGGTCATGACTATGACCTCTCGATAAGAGTTCCAGGAGATGCCAGATTAGAGTAGTAAAGTCTTCGTAGAGGTTGTGTCTGATTGTTGTTGGTGTTCAAACTCCCCTAGGTTTGTTTTTATTCTTCACCTCACACTATACGTCACTATTTTTCCAGGGTCCCTCAGAAATATTCTCCCAAGTCCTTGTGGTAGACTGTACAGGTATTGCCTCCCCTACCCTGACATACTATCCAGTGATTGGCACATAAGGAGAGATGAAACTTACCGCAAGCGCTCTCCAGCATCATATATGCTCATGCTTTCTGTACTAATATCATCAATCGCAAGGATAACATCCCCAGATGAAATGTCAGCCCTGTTTGCAGGACCTCCTGGGGATGCTGAGATAACCACTAGTCCGGGGGTTGCATCATTTCTTCCAGTGGGATAGCCAATTGAAATCCCTACTCCTGTCAGTGCACTTTGAGTTCCTGACTGCCTTTTAACACCATAATTAAAAAACTCTCCTTAGTGGGAGCATCTTAAAGCATGTCTCTACAAAATCATAGTATAATCATCAATCGTCGTCATTATCAGAACCATAATCGCAACTGGTTGGGGTCAGTGACTAAATTTGCAGCGCCAAACATTTATAAAAATAAACTACCCAACAAATCTAAGCAAAAAAAAAGTGGCAATGTTTTGTGTCGGATACCCTTATTGTCGCAATCTTCATAAGAAGTAATGAGATGAAAATTCTAAAACCTTATTAACTTATTATCATATGCTAAATCCACATGTATGGAAAATACCATGAGAAAACAATGAGTTGATATTTTTTGCTTTTGGAATTTTCATTACATGCTAACCATGGAGGCATGGAGCATAAAAGGTAGATGATTAATGTGTGCTATATCTGAGCTACAAATATGTCAGGACACTTGAGCCATACCTTCAAACTGTTGAACTTTTCAGGCTCCAGAAACCGGGTGAAAGGGTCATCCAAAGTGGAGACCATCTTCCGTATTGCTGCATCTGTAAGCACGGAAATATTACTTTTAAGCAAAGAGAAAATACTCGACAATCAAAAATTCTAGTTTTTACTTTTTACATGGACACTATATATAACTCCCAAGAAAATGACTGCTTAAAGCCTTCAGCAATATGTAATAGTCCATTGGGCCAAAAGATCAAGGCTTGCTTATAGGCCATTGAATTTTATCAATCAATTTATCATGGCATATGTATGCTGATGAACAACCATAAAGAAGGAAAAACTTACATGTCTCTTCTCGATTGTTCATTGGTTCATTTTGAAGAGCATTTTCCCGATATCTAAACCAATTCTGCCCATTGAAGGTTTTGTCAACATATGCACGGTCAATTGTTTTCCATGCCTCTAAGAAGAGCTGATTTTCTTCACTAAGAGCCACTGCAAGATGTGATGAAATAAGAAATTTAGGAATCATAACTAATTCATACAATTATAATTACAATTAAAAACAACACAGTAGGGTCCCCCAAGTAGGATCTGGGAGGGAAGGTGTATGCATACCTTACCCCTACCTATAAATATAAAGAAAATTTTTGAAGACCCTTAGCTCAAAAAAGACATGGAAAGCAATCAAATACAGGGGTGTAAAGAAAGAATAACAATAAGCATACTTACAAGTAAGAGTGTTGTTAACAGTAGTACTGGCTGCCATTACTGCCAAGACCCCAACAGCAACCCGTGCAAACAGCTTAGAAACCACACTAAATTTTTCAGAATCTCTTGCAAATCTCCGGCGATTGTTTGTGAACTTCCTTGGGTCAAGAATGCAACTATTTTTCATTAAGAAGTTATTATATTCTAGGGTGAATGTTTTACAAAATCTCCAAACTGGTCGAAGATATAATCTATGCCCACGATTATGGGCATAATAGCAAAACCTATAGCAACTCGTAGTGTCGACCCAATCAAAACTCTTTTTACTCGGAGGATTACACAATCTAGCCTCAAAGTCTCTGTTATAGGAAGATTCACACAGCTTCACCTGCAAAGGTTCAAACTCTATTTACACTTTGAACACGGCAGCAAAGATCTCTCATTGAAATCTGTCAAATCGACCTTAATCCTATGAATTAGCAATCTAAAGGTAATCTTTTCGTTGTAATCGAATACAAAATTGTTAACTTTTATGATCTATACGGAAAAATTCTACTAGCGAGGGATAAAATTCGATGAAATTAACTGGAATGGGAATTCAAAACAAAAAATTAAAATGTGCAGCAATTTAATTAAGAGCACCTGAGAAGCCGCAGTAGAAATTCGCCTTGGCGCTTTGATGTTGCTGATCAATGGAGACCGAAGAGATGAAGGTGAAGAAGAGCTTCCGAGAAGCACTGCCATGGGAGCAACTTGATTCAACTCCCTCTTGTTTGACCCAAATTTTTACCCGAAGTGTTTGATTGAACTCCCGTTGCATTATAAGGAGTAGCTTTTTTTTTCTTTTTCCAATAAATATTCTCCTCTGCAAATTTATACGGGTGAACACCTTACGTGACGGTTCGGTATTTTTAAAAAATTTGTACCGTTACTAATTTACTATTCAAGTGACTCGGTATGGTTTTGCATTTACACCTAAACTCATTCGTAGTCATGTCGTTCGGTAACGAGATGATGTCATGTCATATTAATATCATACCATTTCGTAATACTTTGACGTTTTGAAAAAAAGTTTGTTTATAACAAAAATTCGACGTAATTAAAAAAAATTGTGCACAAATATCTTTATGCATTCTTAATTTCTTACTCAACAAGTGTATTGTTTAGTTACAACTTTTGAAAAAAATTTAATCATAGTTCGCATTTTCAACAAATAAAATTATAATTTGAGTTGTGCTTTGAGGTAATAAAGTATTATAAAAACATAAGTTTAAGTATGTGAAAGTCACATCAAATAAATATCACCTAAACTTACTAAAAATTAACAAACAAAAATGTATAATTGATTTAATATTTTAGTGGTAACAGTTTGGTTCGATATTTTTTATATTTATTTTTAGAAACTCATCCCGTACAATTTTGAAAATGGATCGATTCAGGTCAAACTATAATTTACTAGAATCAATTGAAAACCCACTTTTCAGTTCGTGGCAATGTCGGTCTTGTTGGGAACAATGTCAGACTAGTACTTTTGCCCACCCCTAGCAATTTAGTTTTAAGGAGCTTTGGTGGACACTCCCTTGATTCAAATTACCGTCATTACGGTGTGATTAGAGTATAACTATATTTTTCAATGTTTTGAAAATCAGACCAGACGTCGACCCAGACAAGAGAGTGTGTCAAAAGCTAATCGGTCAAACCGGTCAACTCGGAGGTCAACCATTTTGTTAAAAAGGTAGTGATTTTGAATTTTAAAGGATCATAAATATAAAGAGTAAAAGATAATGACCCAACTATGAAAAATAAAATTTTTATTATTCATGCAATATCGGACAATTAGTAACTCTTTAAAAAAATGCTCGTAATAGTAGTAAATATAATAACAACAGCAGTAATAAAACAATCTTTAAGAAAATACAAAATGAGGTACTCTATATATGGTAAGATGAAGTAGCTAGATAAATAAGTAGTTGACATTTCCTGTATATAACTTTGAACAGTTCGGCCCGTGATACTCAGTTTTTAATTCTTGTATCACGATCTCGTCCTATTTGATATCGGTTTGGTTTCGAATCGGGATGGATACAATCAATTCCGTTTAAAAACACTATAAACGGTTCGATATCATTACCGTCTGATGATACCACGCTAGTTCGGTTTTTTTCGCTTACCCCTACAAATAGATGAATAGGTTTTAGTTTAAATGAATGAGATGCTATTCCTTGTATTCATTATGAGTATTTAACATTTGCGATGAGAGATCTGGGTAGCAACTCAGCAATTCAAGTTTAAAGTTCGTTTAGTACACGGAATTGATAAAATTTGAAATGAGTTGAGAGTTAAAATTTTACGGAATTGATTCTGATAGAATCAAAATCTTCAATTCTAATTTATTTTTGTCACTACCAAATCTAAATTCACATATTTTCGTATTACTCCCTCCTTCCCAAAATATTTGTCACACTTGCTTTTTCAGCAGTCGTGGGAACTTTTGTTTATTTCTACATTTTCATTGGTTATTTGATAAAATAAAATATTCTTGACACCTCTTATTTCGAATAACTTTTCATGTAGTTTTTTGATATATAAATTTAATTTTTTATTTCTATATCAATAAGTAAATAAAATAAATTGAAAAAACTTAATATTTTACCTCGGTATTCGAAGTGTGACAAATATTTAGGGACGGAGAAAGTATAAGATAGTAGAATTAAAATTGTTGTCTCTAATTCTAATTGGCTAAAATCCACCATTGGTCCTTCAACTTTATCAGTTGTGCACGGTTGGTCTTTCAAGTTCAAAAGTCCATAAATAGTCCTTCAACTTTATGAGTTCTGCACCATTGGTTCTTCAAGTTTCAAAAATCCATAAGTAGTCCCTCAGGTACACGTCAGCCCTCCAAATTAAGTCCTTTTGACAGTAAATATTAAAAGTTAAACAAAATACTAGTTTCACATAATATGAGTAAATTCCACTATGTACGACTACTCCGTATTATATGGAGCTAGTATTACATTTAACTTTTAACTTTTACTGTCCAAAGGACCTCATCTGGAGGGCTGACGTGTACTTGAAGGACTATTTATGCACTTTTAAAACTTGAAGGACCAATCGTGCATAACTCATAAAGTTGAAGGACTATTTATGGACTTTTAAAACTTGAAGGACCAATCGTGCACAATTGATAAGTTGAAGTACCAATCGTGCACAATTGATAAGTTGAAGGGCCAATCGTGGAGTTTAGTCAATTCTAATTTCATACGGAGTAGTTTAAATTCTGTGTACGATCAGAGTCTAAGAAGGGTGTATTCAATTAGGATTTTATTAGATTTTTTTAGATTTCAAAAAGTTAGTAGATTTGAAAATTTTGTAAAATCCATGTAGAGTTTGGTTGATTTTTTATAGAATCCGTGTAGAATTTGAAAATTTTGTAGAATGCATATAGAGTTTAAAACATTTTTAAAATCTATAAAGAATATGATGACTTCTATTCACCCACCAAGGGAAGGACGAACGATGACATGAGATAGAAGAAGATGACTTCTGTTCACTCGCGAAATTTGTAGAAACGAACAAGCAAGTGGACGGCGATTCATACCTCTGGATGATCTTGTGCGAATCCAGATCCAGATCCAAAGAGGCCGCCCTTGATCGCGTGCGTCGAGTGAACAGATACGCCGCCGGACACCATCAGTGACGAATTGCTGCGACTCAACCTGCAGATCCGCCACCGGATCCGGATCCGAACTGCTGTCACTCCTCCAGCAGATCCGCCGCCGGACACCATTAGTGACGACCTTGATGCCCACGAAAGAGAGGATCGGACTTGGATTCTTAAAATCCTTTGTTTGGAGTAGGGATTTGTTCATAAACTTTTTATTGAAATTTCTACCTTCAAATCCATTAAAATCCATGTAGAATAAAAATCTTTACAAATTCATGGAGTGTTGAATATCTTTAGATTTAGATAGAATTTTTAAAATCCAAATTCAATACAACCAGATTTTAAATGATTTTTTAAAATCTGAATTGAATACACTTAAATTTTAAATGATTTTTTAAAATCTCGATTGAAGACCCACTAACTTTTAAAATCCAAAAAAATCCCGCAGAGTTTGGATTGAATACACCCCCCTAAATCTCATTCTTTCTATTTGTGTACCAGAAAAATGTCATTCACCTCATTTAATTTTAGCAAAACCTTGATTAGCCATTTTCCAACGAAATGATTTTCAAAATATTTTCAACATAAATTACAATTTTAAAACATTGATTACAATTTATTAACCCCATAATTCCCTCACCTGCTATATAACACCACTAGCAAACCACTCAAATTTCATCAAAATTAAAGCCAAAAAAAACATCATCAAACTCCAAACATGGTATCCAACGTTTGGCACGCAATCCTCATTCTGGCAGCAATCGCAATCCCGTCTTTTGCGCAGACCCCGACGGTGACATTCACCAACCGGATAGTCCCCGACACCCCGCAGCCGCCGGACGTGAAGGTCAGCTGTTTGGCCGCCGGCGGGTTATCGTCGCCGGCCTCGTTCGACTTACTCCCCGGCCGGACGGAGTGGTTCCAGCCGGAGACGATGGACGCCGTCTATCAGTGCTCGGTGGTTTGGGGCCGTTTCTTCGTCGCCGTCAAGGGCTTCGATGGTGCGAGGGACGGCCGTCATGCCGCCGTCAGTTGGGTGCTTGATAAACGCGGGATTTCTGTGAGTTATGATCGGGAGAATTGGGAGTTGGTTAAACAGTGGCACACCAAATATGCCCTAAGGATGGGATTTTTTTCCCCATAAATTTGTACATGCACCAGATAAAATTGTTGGAGACGATTATATCTAGTACGTGTACAAATTATATGTGATTTTTATATTAAAATGTTTTGCAATCCTATTTGGGATGTTTTTTTTTCATTTTTTGATCAAAATTAAAACTTTTGATTTATTACATGCCCGAATATAGTCCTACATGCGGAGTGAGTGGTTGGTGGTTCGGCCGGTTTAACGATGATTTGATCGATGTAACGTTATACTTATGGCATTCGTGCAATATGGAATTTTAATACTCTCTTTATCCCACTATTATTGTGTAGCAATGTTATTGTATTCGCTCTCTCCTTTCTAAAATGATCTTTCCAGTCAACATTAACAAAGTCAAGCTTTAATCAATTTATTTATTTATTTTATTAGTTATTTAATAAAATAATACAGTCATGTCACATCTTCTTTGGTAGGACTTTTGATGTAGTTTTAAAATATATAATTTTTATTTTTTAATTTTATACCTATAATCAAATACTCCGTAAATTGAAATTAAAAAAATTTCAGAAAAATTTGGTAAATCGAACTGGGAAAATCATTTTAAGACGGAGGGATGGGAGTACTTTTTTCGTGCCATTACTTTTGTTTTATAATTTCTTCATTCTAATTTGAATTACATGTTTCGAATTACAATTTCAATAATTTATTTGACCGTTGGAGTTAAATTAAAAAATAAAATTTGCATTTTAAAAATTACATAAAAAAACTCTATGATACAAGAATTGACTTAACGATATTATTTTATCAAATAAAATAAACAATGAAAAAGGAAGGGAAGTGATTGAAGTTTGATACCGTGAATAATAAACAAAGAATTTAATTTGAAACGAAGATGGTAGTGTAGTATACTCCCACTGTCGCATAAAAATGTTAACATTACCATTTCTGTGGTTAAGTTAAATTCTTTTTCATCGCATATTTTTATTGATTATTTGAACAATATTAAATTTAGTCCAACATCATAAACTAAGATTTAAACCTCTTTTAACAAATTTTTTTATTCATAACATATTTTCATCATCAAAATTAAATTCTTTTTCATCATATATTTATTTTTTATTCATCACATATTTTCATATAAACTTAAATATTTTATGCGATGGAGAAAGTATTTTTTAAGGCAAAAAAAAGAATAATACTCCCTCCGTCCGGTATTAATCTACCCATTTTGACTTTTTCTATTTTTTATGGAGAGTTGACAATGGGATGAAAATGTCCAAACTACCCTTTTCTTTAACCACTATTACCACTGCCCTCACCAGTCTTTTGCCATTTGCTTCCACAATCTCCGTCCAATCTCGCCACCACCCCAGGCCCCTCTTTACCGCCACCGCCGACGGCCCCCCTTTACTGCCACCCCCACCATCGCCAACCCCCTCCGCCATATTCGGTCCCCACCACCACCGCCAGACAGCCCCACCACTGCCTTAGTCCCCACCACAATTGTGGTCCGCCCCAATTAGATCTACAAAAACTGAGTACAACTCACCATCTTTGCCCACCCCGAGCACCATCACCGCAACTCATACCGTTGCATCAGTCATCACCATCGTTAGTCCTACCCAACCGCTGCCGCCATTGCCATATCAAGAACAGATCTGTCCAAACCTGGCAAATCTGGAAGACAAATAAACAGGAGACAGGAGAAGGGGCTGGAGGAGGACGAGCGGATTTGGAGAAAGAATATGAGGGAAGGAAGGAGACCGAGGAGGAGGAGCAGATCTTGAGAGAGAGAAAAGAGGCGTGAAAGAGTATGGGGGGAGAAGAAGAAGGGAAAGTGAGAAATAGAATAACAGAGACAAGGCCAAGAAATGAGGGAGGAGAGAGAGGGTCATAAATGAGTTGGGGTATTTTGGGTAGTTTGTGTATGAAAAATTGAAATGGAAAGATTATTTTCGGACGGAGAAAAAGGAGAAACGGAAAGATTATTTTCGGAAGAAGGGAGTATTAATGAATCAAGAGGAGAATAATGAAGTTTGTGGGATACAAAAGCCAAGAACAAAATTTAGTTATTCATTCACGCTCAAGAATGTGGATAACAGAAATTTAGTCTCTTGGTACATAAGAAATCGGAACTAAGCAAAACCCCGAAAGGATACTAATAAAACAATCTATTGAAGATGATCTCCACAAAGGAATTGAATAATGGATTGTATTGTTACTATTCCAACCTGCCAATAAAATAATATATTCTTTGAATTGTCAAATTATTTTGTAGAACTTTTTATATAATTTTTATATATATAAATTGTATTTTTTATTTTACACTAAGTTTCAAATAAATTGTCACATTTGAGAGCACGGCTGGCCCAAGGGAGGGAAGAGCAGTCCTACGTCTGGGCCCATACCTTTTGAAGGCATTTTTTTTTTAATTTTTTCTATATTATATTTATATACTATATTTTTTAAATATAAAACCTTAAAATTGAATTTGAAACATTCTAATTGTGGGTTAAACAAAACTAATTTATATATTTTAAAAAAAATGTTTGTTTGTATATTTTAATTTGTTGGAATTAAGGATTTTTTTCCTTCTCATTCTCGGCCCTTAAATCTCCATGACCAGCCTGCTTCCTCTGTATGAACTAACTACATGTGTTATATTTCATCCGTTTCAAAAAAAAATTCACTTTCATTTTTCATTCGTAATAAATAAAACATTTTTACTTCTGAAAAATCTCTATTTTAGTCAAACTAAATCAATTTACTCTTCACATCTTATCATACTGTGTAATTTTGTAGGGACAAAATTAAAAAAAATACTAGTACCACTAAAATTACACATTTTTAAAATATGTTAGGAAGTATTTTTCAAAGTGGAAGTTTTAGTTTATGGGACCCAGAAAGAGTATCTTTCTTTTCATTTGTGTGTGTATAGAGTGTGGGGAGATGAGATTCAGGAAGTAATCCCATTAAGTTTGGTAGTGCTAAACTGCTAACCCATGAAGTCAAGAGAGAAATCTACAAATATAGATAAAAAAAGGTTTAAATTTGTGACTTATTTTAGGAGAGAGACGCAAGAATAAATATATGACCCTCCGATTATATTGGATTTAAAATTCTAATTGTGGTCGCCTCTTCTATATAATAGACTCTCCTCGTTATAGAGACTGAGAGAGAAGAGATTTTCAAACTAAAGCATATTGAGAGGTTTTAATCCTTATTTTTATTATTGTTGAGTAGTACATTCATTAATGGGGTAAGTTGATCCAAATCAAAATAAATAAAAATTCTTAACAATATGACTATATAAATATTAAATAGTAAACATTAATGATCAAATATAAATTATAGAAGTCAAGTAAAAGTGTAATTTTGAAACAACAGTTAACAAAAAAAAGAGAGCTATTTTCTTCAACCCGTATAATTGACATTTCCTACTCTTCCTAACCTTCCCGGTAACTCTCCCACCCGCCCCGACCCAAATATACCCTCAACCCCCTTCAATTACACCCTCAAGTTACTTTTGACTTTGAAGTCAAAATTTGACATCAATGTCAAAATTAAATTGAGGGTGCAATTGAAGGAGGTGGTGTGTAAGGATCGAAGCGGGGAGGGGGTTACCAAAAGATAGGTAGGTATGACCGTCAATTTTACTAACAGGATGCAAAAGCATTTTCGAATTATCTCATGACATTGATTCCCAATAGCATGAAAACCGGGTTCCAAATATATTTACGAAATCATCACTATAACCCAACATTACTCATTCTTCTTAATATTGATCCTATGAAAGCTACAATTCCATTTTTGAAAAGGAATTAGAAAGCGGAAAATATTAAAGAAAACTTCACAATTCTAACTTCTAAATATGCAAAAGACTATTCTACCGTTGAAATATAAAATAACGAAAAATTAAAAGCGAAAACAAACTGTTTTTTTAAGAGAAAAAAGAAAATGTTAAAAAAAAAAAAGAGAAATATGAATGCGAATTTCTTCAACTATCATCTAGAAATTCTGTGTAGGTTCAATTTTCCTCATTTGGGTCCCACTTCTGAGGTCATCATCGTCATCATGGTACACATAAGCAAACCCGCCGTGTCGGGTCAGATCCATACCCGCCATTTCATCTTCCTCCGAGATCCGGAGCAGTTTCAGCCTGTGCAGAACGTAGAAAAGAGGGCCCATTGTGACACTGACCCACCCGAATATGACCAGAATCTGGATCAAATGTGCCCCGAGAAGCTTCCCGCCGCCGCCCATGAACAACCCGTGCGGCCGGCCAGGATCTCCGCCGTAAACCTCGTTCACGTACTTCTTCTTCGCGAATAACGCGGTGAAGATGATCCCCCAGGCCCCGCATCCGCCGTGTAGCTGCGCCGCCTCCAGCGGGTCGTCGTATCGGGCTATCTCCGCCAGCTTGTTGAGCCCGATGAGCACCAGCGCCGCCACGAAGCCGCAGATGATCGCCGCCCACGGATCCACGACGGAGCACCCGCCTGTGATCGCCGCGAAGCCGCCCAGTAGCCCGTTGCACACGTCGGTGACGTTCCAGTGCCCCGTCAGAATTCGCTTCACGAACAGCGTCGTGAGCGCGGCGGTGCACCCCGCCAGCGTCGTGGTCACGGCGGTGCGTCCCACGGCGCTCCATTGGCCGTAGAATCCGCCGCCGGGATAAGCCACCAGGATCTTGTTGAACGACCCGGGATTGAACCCGTACCACCCGAACCATAACAGAAACGTGCCGAGAACCACCAACGTCGCGCTATGTCCGCGCAAAGCAACGGACCGACCGGACCGGTCGAACCGGCCGATTCTAGGGCCTTCGATTAGGGCGCCGTACAATCCGGCAATTCCGCCCACCATGTGAACAACTCCAGATCCGGCGAAGTCGATGACTCCGGATCCGAATAGGAGATCCGATTTCTTAGTCGGGCTGGCCCACCCGTCAACGGACCAGAACCAATGGGAGACGACCGGGTAAACGAAGCCGGTGAGAAAAGCAGAGTAGATCAGATAAGCCACAAATTGAGTCCGCTCGGCTATGGAGCCGCTGGTGATCCCGGCGGCGGCGATGGCGAACGCCCACTGGTAGAGGAAATTACTGTAATCCATCCCCGCGCCGGCGTCAGGGATGCTTTTCAGGCCGAAGAAGTAGCGGCCGATGAATCCGTTAGAACTGTCGCCGGTTCCGAACGCAAAGGCGAAGCCGAATAGGTAATAGAAGAGGCCGCCGGCGGCGGCATCGAGGACGTTGGTGAGCATGATGTTCATCGTGTTCTTGGCGCGAACAGATCCGGCGCAGAGCATGGCGAACCCGAGCTGCATCGAGAAGACAAGGTAAGCGGAGAAGAGGAGATAGGTTGAGTCGATGGCGAATCCCGTGTTGACGAAGGCGTCGGAGACGTCGGAGAACTGGCGGCATATGTAGGCGGCGGCTGCGGCGGCGTTCGTGGCGTTGGATCCGAGAAGCGGAGCCAGGTGATCGGCGGAGCAGCTCAGGGACGCCATTGCTGGTGGCTTGGTGCTCTGTTAGTCTGTTTACCCCTGAAAAGCGGTTGTTGTTAAATAGAGAGTTTTGGAGTGGGTGGGTTACTGAAGGAGTTTGTTGGCGTACGGAATGGGTTGTTGACTTTTCCAAAGCAGATTCTGACTTCGGGATTCAAACGTGTTCGGAAATTCAAAAATAGTTGTCCGGTATATTGGCGGCGAAGGAACGTGGAAAGAACAGCTTGATCCTCGGACTCTCCCTTGTTGTACACTTGTACGGAGTACCTTAAAGATAATTTTATGGAATATTTATTTATTTATATTTTCTTCATCCAAGATTAAAATTCAACTAATAAAACTTAAAATTTACTTTGATTTTCCCAAAATACCCTCCACCTTACCCCACTTACCCACCCATATTGTCGTCCAACCACTCTCCCTCTCCCATCATTCTAGAAGGCCAGAACCAGCTAGAGCAAAACTCCAGCAACAAATCGATTAAACTTCCAGGGAGAGAAATTTCTACCAACCTCCACATTCCAGAATTCTTACAGGCAACCTTTAAAGCCCTATTCGAGCTATTCCCACATGAAAGGTGCACTTCATTTGCTTCATTACCTTCTTGGTACAAAAGATCAAGGCATTTTAATGAACGGATCTCATCAACTATAATTATCCTTGCATGCTTTCTCTGATTCTGACTGGGCTTCATGCCCTTTCTCATGATGTTCAGTCACTGGTTACATCATTTTACTGGAAGGATCCCCCATTTCTTGGAAATCCAAGAAACAAAGTACTGTTTCCAGGTCTTCATTAAAAGCTAAATATAGAGTTATGTCTGAGGCAGCTTCACAAATCACATGGTTGAATTGGTGTGTTTGCTGGAAGAACTTCAAGTTATAAATTTGAAGCCAGTTACTCTTCATTGTGACAACCAATTAGCTTTGCATATTGCTAGAAATTTATTTTTCCATGAGAGGACAAAGCACATTGACATTGATTGCTATTTTACTTAAGAGAACATGTGAAATATGATTTGTGGAGTCGAAAAGGGGATGACTCTTTGAACGCTTGTGTAAGTTTTCAAACAGAACAATTATAAAAAGTAAGTTTTTTTCTTTTTAATTACCTCTTGTTTTTGTCACTTTAATTTACCTTCAATATATAAGTTGTCCCCAACAAAAAGGTCTCATTGATCTCTCATATCTTCTACAGCCAACCAACTCCCAGATGTCCTTACCAAGATCATTCCTACGAAGGAAGTATGTCATTTCTCAATGTAATAGTTAGATATTTTTATTTTCTAAATAGTACTTGAATAATGTCTAGCGACAAGAATAATGTATATTGATGGTGGACATTTAGTTTGAACAATGTCCAGTGACGATGATCATTTAATTGAACAATGACCAGTGGTACTTGACTGAGAAATAAAAACATATGGTAGTAGATCAGAAAAGTCGCTATTTTTAACTCACTCTGTCCCTAAATATTTACCACATTTTTAAAATTAAGGCAAAATATCAAGTTTTTTAAATTTATTTTATTTAAATATTGATATAAAAATAAAAAATAAAATTTATATGTTTAAAAACCACATGAAAAGTTTTTCAAAATAAGAAGTGTCAAAAAAATGTTATTTTATTAAATAACCAATGAAACTATATAAATAATAAAAGTTTCAGTGACTGTTAAAAATGCAAATGTACCAAACATTTTGGGATAGAAAAAGTAATACTATTTAGGTAAATTTTCCTTTTTGTTATTTCATATTTTTTTACAGCAGTCATTTTTTTAAATGTTTTTTATTTATTATTCATTTTTCAAAGAGTTATTGTTATTGCTCTTATTATTGTTTTTATAGTTTTGGAAGGAATAAAATTCTTCAATCTAGAGTTTCCACTGGGAAGTGTGTACATCAGATTTATCTACGCACTTATGCTGCCACAAGGAAATCATAGATCCCAATTTCCGAGTTCCCGGTGATTCCACGTCGACCCTGCGGTTGCCGTCCGGCCATCAAACTCGCCATCGATCGTAGAGGTAAATGATTTTATTTTATTGTATCTCGTGTGCTCCGGTGATTCTTGGCCTGCCTTGACGGCGTTTGCTCCGGTGATTCTTGGCCTGATTTGACAATCACTTTTAAAATCGAAAAGATAAAGAAATTCGCAGCTAAAAAGAATTTTAATGAACTAATAAATCAAAACCATGTTTGTTGTGGACATGAAAAATATGTCTTTGCACTTCAGGTGCTCGACAAAAAGCCTCAAAGAACCGTTGAAACTAGGAAACAAGAAAATTCTTGAGTTATTTATACCCATATGTTCGTAGCTCTATGATTAGCAAAAGATGTGGAGGCGACTAACTGCACTCTCCCAGCGCTTTACTTCATCATCTAAACCTTGTCATCGTCAGGTTCTTACCACTCAATGTCTGTGATCCCATCTAATGTTTTTGGGTTTTTTTTCTCTTAAAAAGATGATTGAACTTCCCTCTTAATAGATTCGACCAGCTGATGGGGGTACACATTGGCAAGAGTTTTGTTCTGATGCTCACAAGCAGGTGGTACTTCTTTCAGATCTTCATCACTAGCATAGAAGAATATCTAAAGGCTTTCTTTTATGTTTGTATGGGCATAGGCTGAAGGTGGAATCTCTTCCCAGAAAAAGACCCCGTTTATAGCTTTTGTTCTAGGTAACTTACTGCTTGAATTGATGGGTTTATGCATTATTTACTACAGCAATTCATGTAAAAGTACTCCGTACTATATTTCTTTAAATTGGGTGCCTGAGTCCTCATTCTAAGTGCTCCTGCATTTGCTTTATTTAAGATGGTTTACAAAAGCACATAGTTTTGTAAAGTTATCAGCTTTTAGAGTATTTACTCTCTGAAGTCCTTATTTGATCTGCCTATTTTTAGTTCTTTCTGCTTGACTCTGCCTGAAAGGAATTTTTTTACCTAACAAATGATGCTCTATGCCTTTTTTTTTCTTTACCTTCGTTTAGTTGGTCAATGGTTAAAATCTCTAACACATTTGGTAATTTGCTCTCCTCTTCTTGATAGTGAAGCTAGTGACAATGTGCACCAACCTCTTTGGTCATGTCTAAGGGCAGAAATAAGCTAAATCAAGCTTTGCGTTGGAAGACCTAGGCTTATTTTACACGATATAGGCTCAAAGAGACTGGTGGCGTGTAATATGTTTTTTTTTCTGGTTGGGACAATGCTTTGTGTACACCAAGCTTCATTTTTGCACTTCACGGACAAGATTTGTCTGTGATTCACACAGACAAATCTATGCAGTGCAAATATGAAGATGTGGTGTGCAAATTTGAAGCTTCATGTATACCAAGGCGTACTCCAAGCATTTTTGTAGCCTAGCAAATATTTCTCTCCCTCATGTCAAATATAAGTTTTGTTTTGCACTGTTATGTTCACTAGCACCTAATAAGTTCCCGGTATCTTTTGATTTTTTGTTTTTTTGGGGGTTTGTGAGATTTCATTTGGGGGGGGGGTGTGTTTAAAGTTAAATATTGTGTGACCATTCTATTGCATGTGGATCTTCTTAGATGTTCTAAGTGCTTTGATTTAATTATCACTAATAATAAATTTTCCAGGTGGTCCCGGTAGTGGAAAGGGCACACAGTGTATGAGAATAGTTGATACCTATGGGTTTACTCACATAAGTGCTGGAGAACTATTAAGGAAAGAAATGGATTCCAATAGCGAATCCAGGTAAGCTTATGGTAAAAACTAATTATATGCCCTCCGTCCATAATTAATTTACTCACTTGACTTAACAAAGGTTAAGAAAAGTGTTGAATAATGAAAGGTGAGTGGTTAGGATTTGTTTAAAAGAGAAGTATTTTGGGCCACATATTCTTTTTTCTAAAAAGGGAAGATGAAAAAGTGAGTTTTTGTAGGACAGATGAAAAAGAAAGTGGGAATATTTTTGTGGCACGGAGTGAGTATTATATTATTATTAGTATTATTTTCCTTTTTTTCTATTCAAACTAATTCTTTTTTTTTCACTTCAATATCATATAGTGATATGATTCAGAAGATTATGAATGAAGGAAAAATTGTTCCATCAGCGGTGACTGTCAAGCTACTTCAAAAGGCCATTGAATCAGGTGAAAATGATAGGTTTCTCATTGATGGTTTCCCAAGAAGCGAAGAGAACCGCATATCATTTGAGCAAACAGTTAGTTTCTTCTATTCTAATTATGTTTGATAAGGAATCATTTTTTTCATTTGCTCTAGTTTTTCAGTAAATAGATTATTATTGATTTGTTTGTAATTCATTACATGGATTTTAATGTCCTTATGAACTCCAACTTTCTATCTTTGTCCGGTTTGCCACTTGATTCATAATTGCTAATAATTTGAATTAGGTGTAATTGCAGATTGGTGCTGAACCAAATTTTGTGCTTTTCTTTGATTGTCCTGAAGAAGTGATGATCAAACGAGTACTGAACCGTAATGAGGTGTTCTTTCAGTGTGACTCACAAATTAACAGGTATTCTATTCTGTAGCATGTGCCCAGAACAACTCTGAACTCAGCCATTATCTTTTTCCAGGGACGACCAGATGACAATGAAGATACCATAAGAGCACGTCTGAAAACATTCAGAGCTGTGAGCTTTCCTGTAATTGAATACTATGCCAAGAAAGGAAAGGTTTACAAGGTGAGTTAGGCTAATGCCTGCTTGACATGTATACATCCAAATTATCCAATGTGTGTCTTGTTATATACGGAGTATGTTCACTTCAATGAACATCTTTCTGGACAACAATTTTGCTTGCAATTGTTTCATCTAGATTGATGGTACCGGAACAGCGGATGAGATATTTGAACGAGTCCGCCCCATTTTCTCAGCATTTAGGTAAATACGGTATATTTTACTTTTTACAGTGACCATGCCATGTTTTGAACTTTTGATGATATGAAATATCACTCTTGCCAGTTAGGGTTGTTCATTGGTTTGGTTTTATGTTGGTCAAGTTTTGAAAAATGTTACTCCCTCCGTCTTATTGGATTCTTGACACGCATTTAACAATGCTTGAGTGATGTTATTTTCATCTCACTTAACTTAAGCGTTGATGCAAAATGTAAAAAATAAATTTTTTATATATTAGAACTATGTCAAAAGATCTACTCCCTTTGTCCCAGAAATATAGTCTCAGTTGCTATTCTGCCCTTCCGATAACTTTGTTTTTATTTGTGTGTTTTCATTGGTTATTTAAAAAATAAAATATTTTGTCACACCTTGTTTTATAGGACTTTTGATGTAGTTTTGAAAGATTAAATTTGTACTTTTTGTTTCCATACCAATTTGTTAATAAAATAAATGTAAAATAGATGAGATTTTGCACGATGTTTTAGCGACAATATTTTAGCGACAAAGCAAGTATAAAACAAGAGATGACATGACTAAATTATTGCATTGTATTTCAAATGATAGATGAAATTATGTAAAGAGAGACGGTTCAGTTCGACTTGTATATAGTAAGTGTAAATAATAATAATTGAAGGATGTTTTTAGTGATTAACCACTCTTTCATGATGTAGCATTAATTCCATCCTATCTAATTGAAGGATGTATTGCCATTCATTGGGCTTTCTGCATGTTTATGACAAGAAGATGACTCTATCTTTTTGCAGGTAAGAAGGGTGTACATGAATAAATTCAATCTTGTTCATGATTGTTGGTTTACATGAGAATAAATGAATGGTTTTTGACTTGGCAGCCCGGTGCACAAAGCGTCACCGCGCTTCGCGAGGGTCTAGTGAAGGGTCCCACAGTTATGGTTTCTTGATGTTCCTAACAATAAAGGATCCATGGGATCACATACAAATTTACTTCTTTTCTGTGCATAAAATGTTCACCTTCAATGGAGGTTAAACAGAGTGGCTTTTAGCCTTTTACTCAAGCTGTTCTTGAGTGTTCATTTATAGAGAAATTGATTTGAATAATTTTCAGTTTGTTGGCATTCAATGACTTTTTTTTTACCCTAAACTTTTTACCCTGGCCTTATACTTCCCCAGCAAGTGCAAGAAAAAAAATTACACCACAGATGCAATGTTGACATGTGACAGTATATTTAGCCCACTATTAATAGAATTCTTTTGGTTCTCATGACATTGGGAATCAATGTCATTGGATGACTTGGGTGTGCTCCGGTGCCTCGTTCGTAAAATTGACGGTTCTTACTCCTCTTAAAATTGACTTATTTACTTATAAGTCAAAAGTCGATATGAGTTAACTGTAAAAAGTAAAAATTGGATAAATACTCAGAAGGAAATAAAAAGTAAAGTTGAATTCCATTCGCATGCCTAAACGGAGTGGTGTAATTCGCCATTATAAACACATAAATAATGATTCTATTATGATATTGATTATGAGCATGTTTTCTTCACTTTATTTTTACTAGACGGAGTATGTTATTATTAAAATCTTATCAGTTTAGAATAAATCAGATCAAATCAAACAAAAAATTTTAAAATATAATTTCAATAGATTAGACCTTAATAAATCAAAACAAATGAAAAAGAACAAACTATATGTCTCTCAATCATATTGTGTTGTTTTGATTTGATTCAGGATTATGAATCTTGATATATCTCAAGATTAAACACGCTTTGCTTATTTACCATGAATAATTTAAAATTACTAGTATAAATAATAATAGTAACAACAACAACAATAATAACAATACTCCGTACTAATAATAATAATAATAATAATAATAATAATAATAATAATAATAATAATAATAATAATAATAATAATAATAAAAAAATAATAATAATAATAAAATTAATATTAATAATAATAATAAAAATAAAATTAATATTAATAATAATAATGCACTTTAGATCTTTAGACGTCGAATGTCAATGTCACAATATGACTTGTGATGCTTATGATGTTCCATCGGTAAAATTGATGGTTTCTACTTTCAATCTCACGCCTGTCAAATAGGACATTATGGGAACGGAATCGAAATTCTTACATATCTCTAATTTCAATGTTCACTAATAGCCAATTTGCTACACACCAACAAAAATCCGTGATTGGATAAAAAAGCGATGAGGTAAAAGAACCATGATCCTTGCATATTTTTATTATACTCCGTATTACGTACTTTTTAACAATATGTTTTTCTAACATGTTTTTAAGTTTTTTTATGAAGCATTTGACACGAAAAGCAAAACACACATGACACATATAATCTTGAAGTTACATTAAAAATTTGTTTTCAATAGTCTAAATGGTAGAGTAGTTAATAAATTAATCATTAATAAAAGAGTATTTTATCAGACTTATTAAGGTTCACAATCGCACTTCTCAAAAAAAAAAATTAACAAATCATAAAATGCATATCACTATAATATTGATTATTAATAGAGAGCAATAACTATAATTGATCATTAATTAAAGAGTATTTTATCAAACTTATTTAAGGTTCACAAAGACACTTCTCACAAACAAATTAATAAATCATAAAATGCACATCACTATAATATTGATTGTTTATAGAGGGAAATAATTATAATGTCATTAAACTATTTATAATTATAAAAATGTGACTCTTTTTTTATTTATTTTTGATGGAATGATACTCTCTCGGCCTATAGACATTAGATCGATCTATGGTACGAACCCATTAAAGAAATTCTAACCCTAGAAGTTCCTTATTTCAATATAAATATGACACAATTTCCAAAATGAAGGGAGACCAAACCAGATCTACACACAACATAGATAAGATATACTCTCTCCATAAAACATTTTGTATTTTTCACCAATTATAATGTATAATTGGTGAAAAATGTCACCCCTTTTTTATTTGTTAAAAATGTCACTCCTTTTTTATATTGTCATAAAACAATTTGTATTTTTCACCAATTATAATGTATACTATAGGCACTCCAAAGCACCCTTATTTGTGCGTTAATTGTGTTTATTTTAACTAGTGACTTCTTGGCAACCAAAAATCGGAGGGTATTATTAAGTCATTAGTGTGCTAATTGTTACAACTCACAAGTGATTTCTTGGAAACAAAGTAGGTCATTAGTGTGCTAATTGTTACAAGTGATTTCTTGGAACCCAAGGCTGTATTGGAAACTTAAGGAAAAAATTAGTCGGCAAATTCAAATTTCAACTCCAATACTCTTTAGGAACCCCTTCTAGTCAAACTGACCATAAATTTTAGGAAACTAATCAAGTTCAGGTATTCCAAGTATTTCGTAATCCTACAAGTGAGATTTCCCTAACTGTCCAAAGGGGAAAAAAACTATATATATATATATATATAGACCCTACTGCATTCTATTTTCTCCACACAATCTTCTCTCACAAAACTCACAGAACAAGAAAAATGTCTCTGAGAAATCAAAGGAGTGAGAGGTACCAGCCTTACTCGAGGCCTAATGCTTCTTCTTCTTATTCAGTAGAAGTTCCGCTCAGGCGCACGGCTCGAATGCGCGTAAACTACACGGTTACTAGGTATGTATTCGAGGTGACCCAATGGATGATCGACGAGAGTCGTAATGAAGAAGAAGAAGAGGAGGAAGAGGAGGAGGAAGGTACCGAAGAGTTAGCGGTGGGCGAGGCTGAAGACATGTCACAGTGTTTCGAGACGAGGACACACTGGGGCCCGGTTGAGGACGACGGGGAGGAAGCAGAAGTGTGCTCGATTTGTCTGCTGGAGTACGAAGATGAAGAGATGGTCGCAACGCTTCAGTGCGGACATGAGTATCATCCAGATTGCATCAAGAAGTGGTTGCCGAAGAAGAAGGCTTGCCCTTTCTGTAGAGCAACAGTGCGGCCCTTAACACAATTAATTAATAATTAGGCGCACAAATCTCAATTAATTAGTCTCTTTGTGATTTGTTGATGTACGGAATTTTAAGAGTTTGTACTCAGATTCTTACCTTACTTGATGGCCTTTTGTAACTTTCTTTTTTGCGTTATGAATTGGTTTTCTAAAATACAACAAAAATTAAAACTAAACTACGAATCATATTGTTGGGATTATATATCAAGATTAAGATAAAACAATTGTTATAATTGGAGAAGAGAATTGTTGGTTCTAACTCCATGTAAAAAAAATGTGAGATTTGGGGTTCTCTGAACAAATATTCCCAAGCTCATATGTAAAATTGATAACAGAGCAACGCCTCTGATGTCATGTAATTTCTTATGAAATTTGGGGTGGGGGGGGGGGTGCACAACAATGATGAAGAAACAAGACGAATCAGACATTGAAAATTTGGAAGGAGTTTACCACAGTGTGCAGTCTATCCTTCATCTTCTGCCATCTCCTCTCATTCGCCCCCGTTGTCAAAGTGTAAAACTTTCCTGCAATTAAAACATTTTTCAGCGGCGGCATGGAATGCAAAGTAAATCTTTTTATTAACGTTTTGGTCAAAAAAGTCTGAGCTAATGTAATAAACCGTGGCGCATTGCAATGGAGCGAAAAAAGTCACTAGTGACAATGTTTTTAGCTTCGGTAAATAATGGACTAAATCATATGACACACTTAACTTTCTTTACTTCCTATTATATAACTGAAGTCTGTTTTTTATAGGAATGCGCACATGTTGTTGCTGCTGTTGTTGTGGTTGGAATTATATTGGGTTTTGTTGTTGCTGTTGTTGTGGTTGCAAATAAACCAAAGTAATAACATCATACACATATATTAGGTTTTGTCTCTGTTCTATTTGTGGTTAAGGGGGAGCATGTCACCATTCTTGGCATATTAACCAGATTTTTTTGGGTAAAATGTAAATAATAGCAATAAAAACCCAAGTGCATATAAAGAAGATCTTGACTCTATAATTTTTTACCATTGCCAATGCAAACTGAAGCAAGTGCATGGCGTGTGAAATTAGGAGCTTGCGTAATAAACTCAAAGGCATAGTATGTTTTCCCCTCTGCATCACGCTGTAATGTTGACAAAAACATAATCAGCAGCAAGCTTCATACAGATTGAGAAATATATGCCAACAAATGCATCTTAAAGTGAAGTGCACAACCTATAAGAAATGAAATTGATACGAAGGAAATTATTTTTCCACCTCCTTGAAGAATTCTTATGTGGAGGAGAAGAAATTATTTCCTTGTGCTGAGACTTAAGAAATCAATTTGCCACCTCCTTGAAAAGATGCGTTTTGCAGTACGAATGCATATAGGGCCTGTTTGGTTGGGTAGGAGGGGATAGAAAGGGGAAGGAAAATGAGCCCCTCTCCTCCATATCGCGCCACCCCCCCCCCCAAATCGGAGGGATTTTCTCTTCCTTCATCAAACGCAGGCCTTCTCAGTCGTCTCCCGTCATCTTCTTTCATCCACCATTTTTAATTCCATTGAAAATACTGCTTCGGACATTCAAATGAAAGAGAATAGGTGCAATAGTGAATTGTTTTTCAATTGATTGAAAGTTTGTATACATTTTTCATTCGATTATTGCAGGGTGCATCATTATTTATTAAATTTTTTTTTTTTTTAAATTGTTGCTTCTCGAATTGGATGTGGTTTATTTTCAAGATTGGCCTTTAGCGGTCTATCTCTTTGCCGGCAGTGCAGAACACAGAGTCCACAACACCCATGGAACAAGTGCTCCGCTCCCCTACCCTACCCTTCTCCAACCAAACAAGGTGAAAGGAAGCACTCTCATCCCTCCCCATTCCTTCCCATCCTTTCTTTCCCCTCCCCTCCCTCCCAACCAAACAGATAATGTCATCTTTTTTATGATTCTGGGCATCTGAGAATATGGCTTGCCTAAAATATTATTTCCATGGAGATAACTTAACACTAGAAAATGTTAGGGAAAATTCATTTTCGTTTTTCCATGAGAACTCATTCTCTTTGAAAAGAAATTTCTTCTGTGCCAAACACTGCCCTTAATGTCATAGTAATTTCTACAATATCCAGGTGCATCGTAACATCAATCCTACTCAACCTTGCAGAAGTTTAATAGAAAAATACTTTGAAGAATGGAGAAAAAGAATGCAAGAAATCACATGCCTCTGTGACTTCAAGGAGCTTTGTCTTCTGAGAAGATGAAGCCAGAACCTCCTTTAGCAAAGTTTCAGCAACCTATATTATTTATCATTTAAGAATATTAGCAGGACTTCACACTCAAGGGTATATTATTATCATTTAAAAAATATTAGCAAGACCTCACGCTCAAGGGTATATTATTATCATTTATGAATATTAGCAAGACTCCAACAAAAATTTCCTCCTCACCTGTTCTGGGGAACCAAAGTCTCGAATATTTTGTTTGGTAGTGGGGATCACATTTATACTCACATTCTCTAGTGGTTCGACAACATCTTTGAAAACTTTGTCCTGTCCTTCAACAACTACTTCCTGGTTGAAAATAAACAAACAAAAATGTAATCACATATGAAAATTGATGGTGGTAGCACATACAAAAGGGGGAAAAACAAAAAACCTAAAGAAAATACCAAAAACGAGAATGAGTGACTTAAAGTTGTTCAAGAACTAAGTAATGCTATAATCTTCTGGCAGAAGAAAATATACAAAGTAAGTTGGTGATAACCTGCCACCCAAAGGGATAGAGAAAAGAGTATCCATCCTTATTGTCAGTCACAGACAGAAATCCCTTAGTTTTAGTTTCTGCAGCAACTGAGCCATATCAAAGATGTAATCTTAGGATAACGGCAATGCATGAGTCAAATCACTATAGCAAGGGTTTATACTTCTTTTGAACCATTGTGCAAGTTTAACCTGACATTTCATCTAGATTGTAGATGAACTATTGTGATTTCAAATATCATCTAACAAAATTTCTTGGATTGTTTAATAGAGGAAAAATTCAAAAGTACACTATATGATAAGTTACTTGTGGTAGCTTATCATTTGATCTACTTCATTTCATCTTTCTTGCTCCCATCTATTCCCTATTTTATTGAATTCCAAAAATATTGTCTTTCATTTTCGTATATTATGCCTTTGAAGGCCATTTTACATTTTCAACAAACATTTCATCTAGGTTTTTCCAAACAAGGCTCTTCATTTCATCTCGCACTTTATCTCCACGTAGCATCATTTCATCATTCATCTAGTTGTGCCAAACATAAACTTAATATGTTGAATAAATGACAAAATAAAAAAAATACACAAAACCCTAAATGAATGGGTGAAAATAACGAGTGAATGCTATATAAGAAGAGGAGAAGGAATGAGTATAGTAGGAAAAGAAGGCCGTGAAATTTTGAAAATATAAGTATATGACCGTCAACAGAGATACACTTACAAGACGTTTTAGTTTGCATAGAAATCAACAAGGGGCAAATAAATGCTCCTAAGGCAAGTAGTTGGCGCCTTTGAGGTTGATCTGTAGATCACAAACACCAAGAATTTAACAGTTGCTCAAATTCTGTGTTATTTACAACTCAAGTGGAATGTAGACAAGTGAGAAGAAAGATTAGGTTAGCATATAAGATTAAAGATTGTTAGGTAATAGGAATGGAAACTATGATCTTTCCTGTGGAAGAAGATGCTAAAGCCGATGGGATTTGCTCTGATCTGACAATGAACGACGCATGCTTAGGACTACGCAGATTTCTAGATATTCCCAGCTGGTTCATCAAATAAACATTGATACATGTAAGATGTCGAAACGCTATAATATTTATTAGTAATACAAAAGAAAGGAGATAATGAGGACCAGGACCTGATGGGATGCACATGGAAAACATGAATGATGGTTTGTCTGAAACTTCTGCAAAGACATCATTTCTTCTGCACTCTTTTAAATTCAAGAATGTACTGAACACCTTAAAAATTGAAAACCAAAGGATGGAACTTCCTGCATTTTTAAAGATTTGGTCGCCTTGTTGAACAAGTTTATCTAGGAAGTGTTTGGTGCAAATGAAATTCATGTTTAAGTGGGAAAGGTTTTCCATAACAATGTCTAGCGTTTGGTTTATATCGAATGCCCAAAGGGCGGACAACTACGCCAGGAGGTTACTATGCTCTGCATAGAGGTCTTTCTAAGTACCAAGTTGCAATTAATGTTCAATTTGACAGTCACGAGACTATGAAACAGTACTGCAAAACACATTGGACATAGAAAACTTTTCAAGCCTAGGCACATTCCCTTCCCTAAACAGAAAAACAGGAAAACATGAAAACGGCATTACAGAAAATCATTTCTAGTGTACCACACACTTCCTCAATTTTTTTAGTGACTCCAGGCATTCTCTGTAACTAATCAACTAGTGCAAGGGAGAAGTGCTAAAAACAATCTGGAAATGTTTAGAAACACAGTCTGATAAAGAGAACATTAATTCACATTTCACAAAAAAATCACATTATCCGCGCTCCGCACTCCAGTAACGTACACAAAACGCTGCAAATCTGGAATCTACCTTGGAGCCGGCAGTCGAATGAAGGGAATCAGTGGCCGGAGTGGGCCGTGCCGCCGGTGAGAGCAGTGGCGTAGCGGAACTGTGAAAGAAGGCTTATCTAATCAAAGGAGATGATGAAATAAGCGGTTAGAATCATTTCATTTCACACGTACCTTCTTCCTCTAAAACGTAAGTATAGTTAAATACAAGCACCAAAATTGGAAATAGTTAACATATGTTAGAAAAATAAAAAAAAATATCTTGGAATAAGTAGAAAAAATTTAAAAATTGGAAGAAAACATTATACTTTATACTCTAATTTCCTCACAAAAATGATGCAATAATTTTTTTAAATTTTTATTTTAAAAATAATAATCAAACTACGTATTATATTACTCGTATTTAAACGTCAAATATTATTGTGGATTTTTTGTCCACATCATTTTAGATGGACTTTCGTATGAGTTTGATAAGCAAATTCTTACGAATATCATATACTTTTTATAGAAAAATATGTAAAACTAGCGGAATATTTATCAGGATAATAAACATTTTTTTTATTACAACACTCATATGAAGTTCCACCTAAAATGGTGCGGGTTTTATGTCCACCATAAAAACACTTTATTAAATTCACACAAACAAATGTGTTAGAAAACCAAATATAGATATATAAAAAACTTGCATGTTTGATGATGTGTTTTATAAATTTAATTATATATATAATTTTATTATATACTCCGTATTTATTATCTGTAAATTTTTAAGTTACGTAATGTTTAGTTTAGACATTTATTTATTATACACGCTTTAAACATGCACATTTTAACAATAAATCACCCGACAATTTAATTTTATTGTTTTTCTATTGCAAAACAAGCTAAAAAGAGTAAATTACATCATATTTATATATTCTAATTAACATAAAATAAACATCGTTAGTTGTAATATATAAAAATATAATGTGATTTTATTTTTATTTGACAATATAATAATAATAATAATAATAATAGAAGAAGTATTAAATGTAATGAAAATAATACCCCATTTGTTTTGTAATATTTCTAAATGCCTTTTTTATCTGTCTCAATATAAACATTAACTTTTAATATCAAGCAAACTTTTTTTGACTTATATCATTTGTATCTTCTCTGTACTACTTTCAAATATACAATTTTACATGTTTAGCTTGGTCAATTGTGAAACATTGATAGATGACATAAGGTGTACGAAAAATGAACTTTAATGGATAACATAATTTTATTTTTTTTTAAATCAGGACCGGAATAAACTAGAAAGAGTTACACGGAGCAAAACCCTCGAACAAGTTAAATACTACTCCGTACTCCGTAATCTTTAAGTCCTACTTTTGAGATTAAAACATAAAAGTTTTATTTTTATATTCTATCTTTATTCTTAATTATTTCTTTTCCGGGTATAACGGCTGTTGTTTTGAAGAAATCACCAATCAGTATTCAGTATTCAGTAATCAGCATCATGACTCTTCATCTCAACCTCCAGCATTTTGACCATCTTCCTTCCTTTCAGAATTCGAAATGATTGTTGTTTAGCTATCAGCAAAGTCGGGTTTCTCAGAAGCCGAGAAGCTCTGATCTCCCCAATAGAATCACAAATAGATGACCCGCGAGTGTAAAATTAGGGTTCCTGCTCTGAATTCAGGAACACAGCCATGATTTCTGCACTGGTTTCCAATGGAAACCCTACATTCACCAGAAACCCAGGAATCCGGAGCGGAGAAAAGGTCTATTCTTGGTTCAATCACAACTCCGTTTCTTGCTCTCGGAACCAGAAACAGTTATCCAAGAACGCGAATCTCAAGAGCTGGAGGTCCAGAGTTTCCAGCACAGAGGAGGAGAGTCATGGCAGAGCAGAGATGGCGGTTTTGTGTGGGTTCGGGTATTGGGTTCAAGGGTTCAGGCTATTTCCATGGTTGGCTTTGAACTTCCACATGGCTCATGGAATGAAAATGCACCCTTCAACTCTGCAGTTTGTGCAGAACTCTGGTAATCTCCCATTTGTTGCCAAGCCTCTCTATGGAATCTTGTCTGATGCCCTCTATATTGGCGGTGCTCACCGGTTGCCATACATTTCAATCGGAGGTATATTGACTTCTTTACTCATTGAATTCAACTCCGTATTTATTTGTACTTTGCATAATGTCATTGCCTTTCTTTGGTAGTTATTGCAACTTTCTTGCTAAACAACAGTAAGGGTTTTCTATTCAATGATGACGTAGAAATTGGATGGGAGTCACTGGACGGTGAAATTTACAAATTTTATGTGCTCCCTCGTCCCCTAAAAAGAATTATGCTTCACAAATGTACAACTATTGAAGTGTAGTATGTTTTTAATTTTTTTATAGGTTTAAGTATATTTAACACACACAACTTGTTGGATGCACTTTTGTTTTATAAAAATGATTCGATAGGATGAAAAATAGCTTCTTTTATATGAAAAAAGACACTTTTTTGGGGGTTAAAATAAGTTTTTTGCTGGAGGGAGTAGTACACTAGCACATAATACCAAAAGATTGCACAAACGCTGAAAATTTGATGTCTTGCTCATTGAATTCTTATTTTTATGCCATTTGTGTGATATATATTCGATCAGTTATTGACTTATTGGTTGGTCACTTGGTGTCTGTTGGATGAAATACATCTCAGATTCTGACATTCATTACCTCAGTTTTCCTCCAGGCTTTGGCTTGGGGTAAACTAGCTCTGGTTTCGGCTGCTAGTGAAGGGTATCTGGGTATTATGCTGTGCGTTCTTTTAAGCAACCTTGGAGCTTCCATTACAGAAGTTGCTAAGGATGCCCTAGTGGCAGAATATGGTCAGAAAAACAGAATGACCGGTCTTCAATATTATGCGTTCATGGCTTCCGCTGCTGGTGGGATATTTGCTAACTCTCTTGGTGGATATATCTTGCTGAAAACAAAGCAACCTAAATTCATGTTTCTAATCTTTTCCGTTTTGCTCGCGGTCCAATTAGCATTGTCTTTGACAGTAAGGGAGGAATCCCTTGGTTTGCCTCAACCATCAAACTATGCTCCTCCCGTAAGGAAATCAATCCTGGGTAAATTTGTAAAACAGTACTCTGACCTTATGGTTTGCATTAGAGAAGAAAGAATATATCGCCCTCTTATTTGGTTTGTGGCATCAATTGTTGCTGTCCCTGTTCTATCGGGTTCTATCTTCTGCTATCAAACACAGTGTCTTAATTTGAACCCATCAACCATTGGGATGGCAAAAGTGACAGGCCAGTTGGTGCTTCTCTCCATCACTGTCCTCTACGAAAGGATTTGGAAAGATATCCCAATCAGAAAATCTGGTGGCGTCATTCAGATTATATATGCTGCCTCTCTTCTTCTTGATTTTGTGCTTGCGAGACAAATTAATCTCAAGCTGGGAATTTCCAACGAAACTTTCGTGCTTTGTTTTTCCGGTATTTCTGAGATCATAGCAGCATTCAAGCTTTTGCCATTCTCTGTTCTTTTTGCAAGTTTAGCACCGTCAGGATGTGAAGGATCTCTCTTGTCTTTCTTAGCGTCGGCTTTCTATCTCTCTTCAATAGTTAGTGGGTACTTAGGCGTTGGATTGGCGTCTTACCTTGGGATAACATCAGGTGATTTCTCAAGTCTGCCTGTTGGTATAATAATCCAATTTATTTTAGCATTACTGCCGCTTGGATTGCTCGACTTCTTGCCAATTTCAGAGTCCTCAGCCAAAAAGGAAAGCTCAAGGTAGATGTATTAAAGGGCTGGAACAAATAGGAGAGTGGGAAAAGATAGATATTCTTGACTCTGTCTGTTTGATAGACAATAGGTTGATCTGAATCAGTCCAATTCTTAAGACAAGTCTAGTTTGATCATTGCACATTTTTGTTTGAGATGATAAGGTACACTTCTAAAAATGAGTTTTTTTTGTGTGGAAGAAATGTAGATGATGTTGATCTTGGATTACTATTATATGTGCTTTTCATTTAAAAAATCGACAGCCTAAATTTGTATTAACAAAGTTGTTTTAGAAGCAAGTAGAACATGTACAAGTACAATGTTTATAACATTTAAATCTGAGAGTTAGAATGAAACTCTTACTGGTACAAGTTTGTTTTATTTTTTCTCAACTTGAGACATTTGAAAACCATTTGAATCTCATAATCTATTACACAGATTGTCTTTCAACTGAGGCATAGAGAATGGAGTAGAAAATTAAATTAAAGAATCACAACGTAGTTTTTTAGAAAGAGGTATTAACATTACGTGCTGGCTTATGAAACTAAACGTTGAAGGAAGTTGTATATGCTTCTTTTTACTATAAAAAAGAACTCCTGAGTACATAGCTACAATTTTTAAGAAGTGTGATTGCACAACTTTTTTGGTCAATCATCTGGGAATAGCTCTTCTTTTAGTGAAGGAACAATCCATTGGATTTGAATATTGGTCATGTCCCACAAATCATTATCATCTTTCTGAACGAGGATCTCCTCTTCTTTCATTGTAAGAACCATTTTCTTAAGTAGTTCTGGGACTGTATCCAATAATCTTGATTCCCCATACACTCCCAAATCAGCCTTCATACATGTATCCATTCTTCTCAAGATTCCCATCCAAAACCCCCTCATATCAGGACTCTCTGATATTTGCTTCAAGTACCGCAGGTACACTTCTGTCAGCACCTCCATTGATAGCTTTAGAGTACCCTCCATTCCCCTAGTTTCCCTCTCCGCGTTCTCCCTTTTCGAGTATTCTAGCATCTTCTCGTGCAAGTCGTCCACCATCGAGAACAAGACAAGCTTAAAACAATTGACAATGGTTGTGGGAGTGAAGCAGAGCTCCTCTGCTAATTCAAAACTCTTCTGCAGAGATATGACAGAGTGGTTTCTGATCTCCTCTCTTCTTGATAAGCTGGTCTTTCTGAATGCTTCCCCTAACTTGATGAAACACGTGGTTATGAAGTTGGAAGATGATAGAGCTTTGTTTTCGTCAGTGGACGACGAGTTGGGGGTGCTTCCTGGATCACTATGTCCACTTCTTTTCCAACTGACCAGTAAAGTAACTGTGTTTGTCATCAAATCCATGATTTTGATGTTCTTTTCCAAGGGACTGTTCTTTAGTGCAACAAATCCGAATGCGGCTTCAATGCAAAAAGGGTAGTTTGTTCTTGTAATGTGAGAGCCATTTGACATTAGATTGATGATCGCCTCGACTTTCTGCTCATACATCTCTGGATGGCATCCAGATACAGACAACAGTTGTAGGACTGATTTCCACCCCAAGAGTGTCTGTAGATTTGCTGCGTAGTCATTCAAGATTGTGGTTACCGATTGTACTATGAACTCAGAGCACATGTCAAGGATTTCTTTTTCTAATTTTGCCATGAGATTTATGGACTTGAAGATGAGTTCCTCGGGGGCTTTGTCTGCGAGGGGTGATGATGATGATGATGATAGAAGTTTGAGACATATCTTCATCAGTGAAACCATTGCCTTTTCTGCAAAGGGGATTGGTGAAAACAATGGGAACTGTGCAACATCTAAAAGATATTCATGGTAATGGGGCCAAAATGTAGCGATCCTGTGGATGTTTGCTGAAGAAATGGCCACGATCAAATCCCAGCAAAACCCAACCGTTTCTTCTTCTTCAATTGCAGTACTGAATTTCTGACCTTTCCCAGCAGCAGAAAAAATAAGCGAACGCCCAAGACTTTGCAAGGTCTCTTCCGGCAGAGTTGAACAAGTGCTGAAAATATTTCCTATGTGGCATTGATTAATAATCTTTATGTTGTTTTCAAATTCGCTCACGCCGAGGTTCAAAGACTCTTCCACATTTTCCATGGACAAAAACTGTGTGAAGCGGCCCATTACACCACCCGATGCATTATGTTGCTTTCCACCAAATGATGATGTTGATGAAGATCTTTCATGCCGCGACCGATCAGAGAAGGATGGAACTTCGGGTTCAAGAACGGATTTTGGGAGAAGTTTTAGCCTCTTGAGTTTCAACAGGCAATCCACAATTGTTCTCCAGCCTCCTCTGATGTAGTTCTTAAAACTGTTTGCTATGGTGAAAACTGCCAAAGTTGCCATCCTGGGCTTCATGTCATTGCTGAAGGCATACAAAGTTTCTTCTGCAGAAGCATAAGGGTTTAAGAGTGTGGTGAATTTGCAGAACGTGCAGACGAGCTCATCCAGTGTATCATCCAACCCATACTGACATATTCTGGCTACTGAGAATAATGCTTCGATGCAGTCGTTGAGGACTTCTTCCACATCAGCCTGTTCGAAAATCGCTGCCAAGGTGGCAACAGAGGGGCCCGCAATAGAAGCAAACAAGTCTCTTCCCAAGCGACGATCGAAACCACACATGATATAGGGACTCATACTCTTGGATCTGTTTATCAGCTGAACCCATTGATTCGGATTCATTTCGACCCACGACGAGGACGAAGATTCGAAGACTATAGCATTGGTTGAAATTGAATGGAAAAGGTCAGAGAGATACTCTCTGGGAAGATCTTGCCCTGCGTTGATTGCTCTGTTGTTCTTGATGAACTCATCTTCTGTCATCTTCTTCTTCACTTGGGGATTGTGCTGATCCGTGTTCAGCATGATGACCGAATAGCAGAGAACCAGAACCGCATCTTTCCCACAAAAGAACTCCGAGCATTGTTGATCATAAAACCTCTCGGCAAATGCCTCGAGCACCCTCTGAATCTTCTGCGACTCTCCCGGCAACCTGAAAGATTCCAAGAATGTCCTCAAGGCATTATCCAAAACCATTCCAGTGAACTCAAATGTGTCTGTGAACTCCTTGAGGACTTTGAGGTGGAAATCATCGGGATCTCCAAGATACTCTCCGATCAACACCTTGTCTAGTTTCGGCGTGTACCTGAAAAGGAAAATTCTTAGGTCTCGTTTCGTGAGCACAAAAGATATCAAAAGTTGACATAAAGGGCATGATCTTTTGGGTCGAAATTTCAGAGTTAGATGTTGGTAGAAACTGGAAGAAGCTCAAAGAAACTAAAGCTCAAAGAAGGATTTTTCACAGACATCTCATGTTTGTCAAAATCTCTTTTTGATGCCAAAAGTTGTGTCCCTATTGGTGCACATTAAGAATTACTCACCTGAAAAACATAGCATACGCTTTCGGATCGGGTGTTTCGGACACCAAGCTCGAAATCTTCAAGTAATCCAAACCCTTCTTGCAGTCCCGATTAAAATGGTCGCCGGCAATCAATATCTTCCTCTTCTGAGCCTTCCTCACCCTCACAGTGTCAATCCAAGAATCCAAGTCCACATCCTCCTCCCAAAACGGCGCGTACTCTGTGATTTCAACCGGGTACGGCCCAGAAGGAGTGGAATCTTCTTCCCTGTCAATGTTCTCTGCAACACTGTGGATCACAGTCACCAGGCCTTCAAAGGCTTGAAGCTGCAGACTGGTTAAAGCAGGGCCTGAAGGATAAGCATGGCGGCACAAGAGCCTCCCTGTGTCCTCGAACACATTTCTGAAAGTGGGGTCGCAGTCGTAGTTCACGTAAGCTTCCACCACGAACCTGGGCTGCCTGCAGAAGTTCACCAACCCTTCAATGGCTACTTCTTGGAGGGTCAAGATGTTTCCTGTACTTGCAGCTCTAAAGAGCACATATGAGAAGAAGGCTTCCAGTTGAAGACGAACTGACCTGAGATTGTAAGTTATATAACCACCATTATCACATACTCCCTCCATTCCATATTAACTGTCTATTATGACTTTCTTGGTACATTGAGAAATGAATGAATGTAGACATAGCGTATGTCTACATTCATTAATTTTTTAATGTAACGAGAAAGTCATAATGGACAGTTAATATGGAATGGAGGGAGTATCTTTTAAAAAAACATACTTCATTAGAGATTCTCTTTACTCACCGGGATTAGAGAGATGCTCTGTTACTCACCCGGGAAGGAAGTGATAGAGATTCAAAACAATGCTGCAAATCATGGACAAAACCAGAGGCCTGCTGGTGGAGCATCCATAATGGATCAAATGGTGGAAAAGATCATCCTGAATCATCCTCATCATCTTCGGATGCATCCCCATGCTATTGCCGCCCAGCTCCACGGCGGAGTTTATCACCGCCAGCGAGAACAGCTGGACGCCCTCGTCAGAATCCCCCGCCCCTTCCGCCGCCACGTTCAGCAGGGAGCAGAGGAAACGGAAGATGTCGAGGGCCGCCCGGACGCCGTACCCGCCGGAATCCTCCGCCACGGTGGCGGCGTCCTCCCAGTCGTCCGACTCCGGGTTCTCGGCGGCCGCGGCGGCGCTCGTCACCTCCGGCAGCCGGGAGAAGACCGTGCAGATCAGATCGTGCATCGTGAACCTGGCGGTGCGGTGCAGCAAGTCGCCGCCGCGGCCCGCCGATTGCTGCACCACATGGAAGCACGAGCTCACCGCCGCGCATACCGCCTGGTCTGTTAGCCAGACGGATGCCGGGTGAGCCATGATTGCTCCGAGCACCTGAGATATGAAACAACCACAGAATAATTGTGTTAGGGACTGCGTTTGATTCCATAATTGCTGACCAAACACCAAAGTATTAATGGTTGAGTGTCGTCCGTCCATACATTTTCAAATATCTGCAAATACTTTTGTTTTTAGGTTTCAAAACCTAAATAATTTTATGTGGATTTTATAACGTATAGCATTTCAACCATGCTCTAGGTACCAACAGACAACCTCTTACTCGATTGTGTCTAAGCAATTCATATAGTCTATTTCATTTAGTTAATTCACAATAAAATAATTATAGTAAGTTAATTAAACTAGTCTAACTTTAGCAGGTATTACAAAAAAGGAATTTACTTAAATAACATTAAAATATAATGACTTTTTCTAAATAGCACCACATGTGTTTTTCTTCCCAATGTAGCATTTTTAATCATTATGCATTGGTTATTATTTAAGTAAATATTATGGACATTATTAAGTGATATTTAAGAAATAAAATAATTTAAGTGCTATTTAGAAAAATGACTTAAGTTTTATTCATATTTAGTGCAAATATAGTGACATAAATATTCAAAAATGTGTTTTCTTGAATGCATCAGAACAATGAATAAAAAGAGAAAATATTACAAGGTAATGTAAGAAGTGTAGTAAGTTATAGTCTTAACGTATAATATGGGCCTGTTTGGGAATAGCGTTAGAGATTAGCGTTAGCGTTTTGGATAAAATTTTAACGGTGCAGATTACTTTGAAAACGCTAACGCTAAATGCTGCCCGTAGATAGCCTTTTCAAAACGCTAACGCTAATCGCTAACGCTGTTCCGAAACAGGCCCTATGTTTAAAGCAATTAATCAAATCTCAAGATATTTTGAAAAACCATAGATTTAGGTCAAACTCCAGGAAGAACTTGGATTGGAAGGCCATTCAAAGCCCGAATCATTTATTAAAAGGCTTCGTTTTTATCCAAAGTTTAAAATTTGAGCCTCAACTTTTTGTATTAATGGAGAAAGTTTTTATTGATGGAGAAAGTTTAATTGGAAAGAAAAAAAATAAGAATAGAGGAAGTACATCTCTCTATCTCTTTAGACCTGCAAAATCTTCATCATGATGCCATCAACGGAGGCCGGGTCAGTTTTCTCAAGCCGGCAATTTGTGACGGCGGCGACCGACGAATTTATAGCTTCCCTGGCGCCGGGGGTCTTGTGGTCAAACACGTCAAACTTAAGGATCTTGAGGACGGAGGAGAGCGCCACCCCGGTGGCGGCGGCTGGGACATCGTCGCTGTGGACCACGTCAAGAAACGGCAAGAGGTACGACGAAGGGTCGAGGCTGCGCCACTCGTGCCGGGGGTTGAAGATGAGGGAGCGCAGCGATTTGAGGGACTGGGAGATGTGGGTCTCGTAGCGCTCCGCCGGCGGGAAGAAATGGGCGGTCGCCGCCTCCGGGCAGCGGCGGATCACGGCGAGGACGGCGCCCACCTCCGTGTTCAGCATGCATGAGATTCCCAGCTCTTTTCTTTGCTGGTTTATTACTGTCATGTTTTTTGTTTTCTTTCTTTTTGCTCCTTATTAACCATTTAAATTTAACTCCTAATTATTATTGCAGTTTTTAATTTGGAAATAGTGGAAATTTCCATAACAACAAGCTTTCAAGCATGGGGGAAGTGTATTTACCCTTTAAAATCTCTAATTGTTAACTACCGGTCAACAACCTAAATCAACATTTGTTTTAATCCACAAACAATGTTCCATTTGCGCGCGCCCATTGACATCCCTCGCTTTTCTTGGGTCTCATACTCTCATCAATTAACATTTAACAATATACGGAGTAATTAGAATGTCCTAAGAAAGACAATTAACAAACTAAATAAAGGTAATCGTTAAATATATTAATTATTTAATATATTTAATATTATATATTATAATTATGGTTGTTACTTATTATAGTTAGATATTTATTATATAATACGAAGTATTACCTTATATAATTAATCATTAATATGTAGGATTATAGAATATATTCTTCCACCTATAAATATATACTCCGTATATTGTATTCATCTCTTATTCATTCAATGAATAAAGCGTAGTTTATTGTTTTATATATGGTATCGGAGTCTTCGCTCTTGGTGACCTAATATTTTACTCCGTATGTTTCTGCCGTCGTCGTCGCTTGTGGTTTATCCAGTGACGACGGCCCCACTCTCACTTGTTCCTCGAATAACCATCTACCATGCTCTTCTGTCCGCCTCTGGATCCATCACCGCCACTTTTTTATTGTAGATCATATTGCCACCTTAGCATGCTTAGTCAGCATATTTTTGGTCAATAGGCATCTACAGCAACACCACATTTCTTCTGCTTCTTCTCTAAACTAGTCGCACACCACTCTAGCGCACATCAACATTCTCCCTTCTTCGACGTCCGTGGTAGGAAACTGTCTACAACGACTCTTCTCTCATCCTCCTTGGTGCCGACAAATCCCTTTCTCATCAATGTTTCTTCTTCTCTTCTGGTATAGATGCATTTAGTAATATGTCTCTAGCTTTTGATTATGATTCTAGTCATCATTCACTTTAAAATTGGCGTTCAATATTCACCTTCTAGGACGTTGGGAGCAAGTTTAATATATTAATTATTTAATACTACCTCCGTCCCACTCTTTTTGTCCAGTTTTGATTTTTGGAACTGTTCATCTAAGCACTTTGACCCATCAAATTCTCTCAATGTGTAAGTCTAAAAATAGTCATGTGTGATCTTGTTTGATTTGTCTTAACATTTAGATTATTAATATATAATTTTTTAATCTATAAATTACAAGATAAAATAGATTAAAGAAGTGCATTGGATGGTGTGCAAAAATGAAAGTGGACAAAAAGAGTGGGACGGAGGGAGTATATTTCTAATATTATATATTGTAATTATGGTTGTTACCGATTATAGTTAGATATTTATTACTCTATATAATATTACCTTATATAAGTAATCATTAATGTAGAGGATTCTAGAATATATTCCTCCACCTATAAATATATACTCTGTATTCATCTCTCATTCATTCAATGAATATAGCGTAATTTATTATTTTTTATATTACTTCCACAAGATAAAACTAAATAAGGAACATTGTTTTAAAAAAATAAGACGACGGTCAAAAATAATTGTTAGTTTCTGTTAGTTAGTCATTGGTTGTCGTGTACTTGGTGTTGGCATCATCCTTTGTGACAAAAACAAATAGTAGGTTAATTATTTATTAGGTTATAGTTGGGTTGTAGCGTCCAGCCAAGTCATCATGTAAAAGGAAATCTGTGGAACGACTAGTCTTTGTGTGCCAAGTCATCATGTCAAGAGGAGAGCATCTGTGCTCTTAAAGTTTGCATAGGACTCTACTTTGAGCTTGTCAAGTTCTATAAGGACTCTACTAGGGCTCACAAGCCTCTCTACATAGGTAGAGTATGAAAAAGTAAGGTTAGGGTGAAAGTGGATTTTTAATAGAAATGAGAAGGACTTTTGGGGACACGGTTTTTGGGGACGTGAAAGACTTTTTGGGACGAAGAGTGATGGTGTAAAACTAACGTGAGTACTAAGTCACAAAAAGAGAGGGGCTATAGGTGGAAACACTTGTAACCCGGTTTGTTATTAGGATATAGGGACCAATTACAAATTACAAGCGTGTGAGTTATTAATTGTTTGCCTTCTTTATGAGGCTTTCACTCATATTTATAATAATAGAAATACTTTTTATCGCTACTGTTCATCTCAAGGCACCTCCCCACTAGTCTTCAAGTCGACCAGTCTTCAAGTTGACCCGTCTTCAAGTCTTCTGCGAATGAAGTCACGGTCTCACAGGTCTAACCCTCTGACATCCACCCGGTCAGATTACCCGGGTCGGAGTTCGGTACCCCCTAGCGCCTGTGAAGGGGGGGGGGGGGGGGTAGCAGTGGGTTATACCAATCAGAGGGAGTATAGTATTTCAACGATGCTCTACGTAGCAAAAAAACCCCTTACTCGCTAGTGTCTAAACCATTTATATACTCTACTTCATATAGAATAAAATAATTATAGTAAGTTAATTAAACTAGTCCAACTTTAGCAGGTATATTACAAAAATACACTGACACAAATATTTGAAAATGTGTTTTATTGAATACATCAGAACAATGAATAAAAAAGAAAAAATATTAATTAGGGAGAAAGACCAACGTAGAACTAAAACATTGAAAATATACCAAAATAGGACTTCCATATTTTTATTCTTGAAATAGGACTTACATTATCAAACATGGTCATATATATTAACAAAAAAATAGTAATGTGCACATGTACACTACCACATTACCACAGTGCAAAGTCACATTACTACAATGTAAAGTCTCATTTTGAAAAAAAACATGAAAGTCTTATTTTGGTATTTTTTTCCCCATGTTTTAGTCCTATTTGGATGACTTCTAAAAATATTACAAGGTAATGTAAGAAGTGTAGTAAGATATAATCTTAACGTAGAATATGTTTAAAGCAATTAATCAAATCTTAAGTTTTTTTTAAAAGCATAGATTCAACTCGAACTCCAGGTAGAACTTGGATTGGAAGGCTATTCAAAGCACGAATCATTTATTAAAAGGCTTCTATTTTTATCCAAAGTTTTAACTTTCAGCCTCAACTTTTTGTATTAGGCCATTTAACATATAGTCAACATTTAGGCTTCGAGATATAAGTCGACTTATAACTGGAACGTATATTAAATAATAATCGGTAGCATTTTAAAATAGATTTTAACTTTTAAATGGAGTCCAAATTCAAAAATGTAGAATGCAAAATTTAGATAAGTGGAATAAAAAATGACAAGGACCTTCTGGTCAAATGAACTCTCCTAGATAAGAGATCAAAGATTTGAACTAGGGGTATTGATTCAGTGAATCATTTGAACCGAACCAAAATTTTGATAAAATAATTTTAGTATTAAATACTGAACCATAATAATTCGGCTTGGTTATGGCTTATACCAAAAAGTTATGATTTGGTATATGGTTATTATACCTAAAAGTTATGATTTGGTATATGGTTTAGCATTAAATACTGAACCATAATAATTAGATGTGTTTTTCTTATATTGCCTTTAATGATTTTTGTCAGTAAACTCAAGGACTTCAGTTTTTAATTACCTTTTTCTTTATTTTTCTTTTTCATAAAGTCTTTTTCAGTTCCTTATGTAATTTTTCTTTCATAAATTGAAAATTGTTTGTGTGATACTCCATATAAAAAATAAATGTAATTAAAATGACTAGAGTAAGGACAAATAAGAAATAGTGGTCATTAATAAAATAGTAGATGGAATATCTCTTTTGAGTGTTTACAACAAAATAAAAGAATCCCAAATGTGTTTTAAAAAATGCAGAGATTTGCGAATTATTTCAACAAAACTTGCACGCCTAAGTAATTTTTTTGCTATAAGAATCTCTCCCCAATTGAAAGACACGCTCGAGTTCAACGCGTAGGACTTCACAGCGGGCACACAGTCATTCGGAAAAGGGTAGGGGCATACCCGTCTTTACCACCTGGGTCGCATATTGCTATCCTGTCCGATGCCGGAAAACCAGACGGGACAATATCTCGCCTTCCCCTTTTTCGTACACCTGTTTCCCCATCCTGCTTCGCCCTTAGATCTCGCCTCTATCTCTGTCAAGATTTCTGGATAATTTGCACCATTTCAGAAGAACCCGCCCTTGCGCGGCCCAAATCTCGCCGGAAAGTTGTTCGGATTCGTTCCCGATGCCGGAGAATTGAGGCGTTCTCTGGCAAATTATGAGGTCGTCTTCGTCGCCCTTCTGGTCGGATAATTCACGCATCTCCCCATCCCCGTCGTCCTCTCCTCATATTCCGGCATCGCGTAATCTTGCGCCCCAGCCCCAGCCGTCTCAGAATTCTAATTACACACACAGGTTCTTTCCCGAACCCGTAGATTATCTGAAGTTGCGAGTTTGAGCTCATTTTAGATTCAGAGATCCGATTCTTAGACTGTTTTGTGTGGTTTCTTGGTGAATTGGAGGGACCCAATCTGACTGACTTGTTGTTGAAGCATTTATGTCATAATGATCTGATCTCAATTATATGCTAGCTGCCTTTCCATTTTCTGATGTTACCAAGTATATACGGATATCTTATTTGATTTCTTCAGGAAGTTAATTTTGAGTGATGTATTTCTCCTTAGAATCTAATTGTGCTCTTTTCTGCCAATTGTTTCTGATCGTACTTGCTTTTATGTATTCACAGTACATTTCACAATCACTGGGGGTGCATTGATAAATGTCATACCTTTAGCTAGTAGCTTACCAAGATTAGTTCCAAATCAATTGATATAGAGTATACGGAGTAGTAATTAGTTTGAAGAACATGGTTGTTTGAGATATTGGGTTTGCAAGCACATTATGGGGTTAGTTGTTCAATGTTAATTTAGTAATACCGGAATATAGTTATCTATTCCTCTATCATTCATCATTATCTTTGCGGATTCTCATTGTTATCCAGATAGTTCACCGTCATAAGTTCAGATTGCATGTTTGG